TGCCCAGGAGATTATTTGTCGGAAATTGCGCTATTCTACTCTATTTTGCCTGGAAAAGTCATATGGCCGGCCAAATGAATGGTCTAGCCAGATGAAAGAATGGCTAGTTGAACCCTTTATCTGGCCGACTATACAGCAAATCTAGAAAACCCTGTTTTGCGTAATAAACACAAAATTGAACAAACAAAATGTTTCCAAGGAATGCTCATCCTTATTCAAGGAAGATGTAAATAGGCCTCATCCAACAACAAACAACAAGAGATGGTGCATAATATGTACAAGAGTTATCAAATAAACAAAAACAAATATGTATAATGATGAAGCTAAAAGAAATACAAGCTAGAGAAATAGATGGAAACCTGTATTCATCTCTTTGTGGATAGGGTAAATTAATACCCAAATCCATGCTATTAATTGAAGAGAGCAAATTACCACCATTTTTAAGGTGAAGCCTCATAAAGCTAATGAAGGGCTACTAAGAAAGTAAGGTGGAAATACCAGAAAATACACATAACTCATTAAAAATAGTTGAAGACTTCTCTTCTTTAGTCATGGAATATGGATGTAAAATCCATTCCTATGTTCAAAGTTGGTTAAGAAGAGAGTTTTCAACTCCTTTTAATGAGGAAGCTCTTATAGCTTCAAACAAAAATGAGAGAGAGAGAGAGAGATAACAAAGGATCATCTAATGAATCCTATGAAGCAACCACAAATACTTATCAAGATTGAGTATGGATTGAATCACATGGATCAAAACACTTGGATGATAAGAAAAAAAAAAGAGTAAGAAAATGGACCAAAGTAAAGAGATTACACTATCTTACAATTCTATTGGGGGGTGGCTGAGCCATCCACATTCTAAAGCTAAAACAGAAATAAAGATAAACTATACTATCTAACAATTCTATAGAGAGGGTGGTTGAGCCATCCACTTTCTCAAAGCTAAAAAGATTACATTGAAATAAAGAAATATTATACTACAACTCTATGGGGGGTGGCTGAGCCATCCACATTCCAAAGAGGATCACATGCTTAGAACAACAAAGAAAATTATAGAAAAAGAAGAGAAAGAAGAGATAAAGAGATAAGAAGTGTTCCAACTCTTACCTTTCAAAGCAAGGAAGAGATTTTATTACCAAACTTGCTTCCAAACACCCTCAAGGCTCTTGGGGATGATTTGAATAATCAGCAAAGACCCTCAAGATCAAGCTTTGATGGTGTTTTGGGTGGTGGGTGTGTGAAGATTGAGGTTGAGAATTGGAAGCCTCTTGAGTTCAAGGTGGTTGTGCACTCAAGCAATCTCTAAGCCCTTGAAATCAATTTCCAACCATAAAGAATGAGGTGGAAAGTTGTATTTATAGTCTTTTGAGGGAAAATATCTAAAATATTTGTGTGAAACTTGCTCAAGAAGCCAATTTTCCCGAAACTGCTCTACTTCTCGAACAACTGCTAGACAAAAAACATTCGGCTAGCAAATTATTTATTTGGCCAGCACTTTTTTGTACAGCTAGATGAAAATTCATTTGGCTAGCACTTTTTTTGTACGATCAGATGAAAATTCATTTGACCAACATTTTTTTGTATGGCCAGATCAATTTTTTGAAGGGGAAAACAGGGTTTTTTTTCCCAGAGAATTCTCATTCTTTTCACTCATCTTCACTTTGTCCTTGCTCAATTTACTGAGAAAGTATAGCACTTGGAGTTTTAAAATGCAAGCCTCAGAACATTGCAAAGATGTTTGGATTCACACGACAAAAACATTTTGAAAAAGGTTTTTGAATACGTTGAAAGATAGTTTGCCCAAAACGGGTGTAAGGTTGAAATTAAAGCTTGAACCCGGCTTTCCTTGAGATTAAAGCTTGAACCCGACTCTCCTGCTGAGGAATTCGTAAGATAGCACATTCCAACTTTCATCATCAGGTGTTCAGAAGAAAGCCCTCAAGTCTTACGGCCAGTCAAAATGGGGTGTTTACAACAACATTTCAAACTTGCATTCCTTAAGCAAGGTGAAGTTTCAAAAATTTCTAAAGGGAAAGGAAAAGAGCACAAGGAAGATTATGTGCCTTAATAGCAGAAAAAGATTTAGGCAAACATCTCCATTTGGGGTCTTCTCTTGGCCTCCCGTGAACACCGCCAGGCCATGCTGACTGCACTGAGCAAAGCCAAGGTATCCGTAGACACCATTCTGGAACAATTAGTAGCAATTACTCATGCATCGTAAAAAAGAAACTCACCATTACTTTCTCTGACAAAGATTTGCCTCCTGAAAGGGCAACATATAACAAGCCCCTTTATGTGTCACTAAAGCATCGAGGGAAATGGGTGTCAGTGGTGCTGGTTGACGATAAATCTGGCATAAATGTGTGCCCAGCCAGGATCGCATATGCTTTAGGGTTTAGGCCCAAAGATTACACTACAACCACACAGGCTGTCAGAGCCTATGACAACATTCAGTGAGAAGTTTTAGGAACAGTGAAATTAAGGATTGAGTTTAGGCCAAACAAACAAGATGTAGAATTCCATGTCATGGACATTCCAGCCACGTTCAAAATGCTGTTAGGAAGGCCAAGGATGCACTAACTTCAAGCTGTACCTTCAACTATTCACCAGAGAATCAAGTATGCTAAAGGAGACCATATAGTTATTTTAGATGGTGATACTTTGGTACGTCCACCCCCTAATGTAACTACTCATTTGCTTGAAATTCATCACAATGACGAGGACGTCTTCATTTATGGTTTCACCTTGGTAGCAACTTGGCTAGTGCAATCTATCATGGCACTCGAAGAAGACCGATATGTTGGTGCACCCTCTATTCTAATGATAAACAAACAATGGTACATCCCTGGTTTTGGTCTAGAAAAGAGTGGTAAATAAGAAGTCACAAGGGTGCCAAAAGTCAGCAACCACTTATTCATCTTTGGACTAGGATTCCAACTGACAAAGAAAAATTTGATGGCAAAGGCAATCGAAGCACAAGACAAGGCAAGGGCGAAACTGGAAGGCAGAAAGTATGAGTTAAAGTGCAAACCCATCCGAGGAACACTCAACAGGCGTTTTGTTAGGGGAGAGAAATACAAGAAGGAAAAGGCATCCGGGATTTGAAATTTTCTTTGATCACAGATAGTGATGAGGAATACATAGACATTGGATAGGACATGTACAACAATTCAAGTGATGAGAGTGGAAACTAGATGAACAATTTGACTGAAGCTGATATTGAGACTAGCTTGAGTACTAAAATTGGTTACATTGGCTTAGGGGATTTCAATTCCATGATGATGCTAGAAAATGGAGTTTTGGAAAAGGATGTTACCAAATACATGGTGGATGCAATGGAGGGTCAAGCACAAAGCTGGTCTATTGAAAAATGTACTATTTATAAGTCTAACAACGAGTCTAGTAGTGAGTCAAGTGACCTAGAAGTTATAAGTCCAAAGGTAGAGGTTAAGTCTAAATTTTCCATTTATTTTGAGTTTGAGTTAGATGTAAATCCCCTAGCTCTGATTAATGAAATAATGAGTGATTCTGAATACTTCGCAGTGCCACTAGTTAGCATTATTAATTCCACTGATTTTGAAACTAAAAATGAAAACGATTTTGAGGAAGAAATTTCCCGAGGAATAAAAGACTTGATTGAATAGAAAGAGGAAAGACGAGCTAAACCTGTCATGAATGAGATAATTTCCATAAACTTAGGCAATGCATGGTCTAGATCGTATCCTTGTTATCTTCAAAGGAATGTGACAGTTTGGTCGCTTTTTTAAAAGAATTCAAAAATGTTTTTACATGATCCTATGAAGACATGCATGGAATCGATTCTTAGATTGTACAACATAAAATCCCCCTAGACCCTGAAGTTAAACTTATGAAGCAGAAGTTAAAAAGAATCAGCCCTAATCGGGCGCTTAAAATAAAGGAGGAAGTAACAAAAAAAATCAATATCGGATTCTTAATAGTGTCAAAATATCTGACATGGCCAGCCAACATAGTTCTGATCCCTAAGAGAGATGGCAAAATTAGAGTTTGCGTTGGTTTCAGAGATTTGAATAAGGCTAGTCCGAAGAATGATTTTCACTATCGCACATTGATAAGTTAGTAGACTTCACAGCAGGACATGCCTTCTTTAAACAAATATTTTTACATCATTTTTTCAAAAATGATTTATTTTTAAAAAAATTTGCTAGTCAATTTTTGATAAATTAATTCTCACTCATTACCTTTTCAACATCTTAATATTTTCAAATAAGTATCTTAATAAAAAATCATAAATGACACTTTTATTGAATCAAAAATTTTCTTTTAAGCAATAAAATATTTTTATTTCAAGTTTCAACCAAACACTGAAAAACAAAAATAAAAACTTTTTTTTTTGGGCGGGATAAAATCAATTTAGAAGAAAATTATTTTTTTGTGTAATTGGAAACAAACAGACCCTGAGTTTAAAAGCAAAAGAAATATGAAACATTTTACTCAATCTACGTTTGTATATTCGGTGATTCCATAGGCAAAATGACTTATTCAGGGGGTGGTTTTAAGAATTCAAGTCACATTGGATGTAGGCACAAGAACTTCCTAGCCTATTCCTTTACCATATCAAGGGATCCTCAGGCATGGACGCATTGGGCTTTTTCATCAAGTGATATATGTCAGTTAGTCCATAATTTTTCTGTCAAATGACTCCCCGTGCTCTGATTCATTATTATTATTTGGATTTGATCGACTATTTGGATTTGATCGATGAGCACTTCCATAATAGCTAAAATTTGAGTCTTGTTCATCCGATCTAGGCCTAAGTATAAGAATCAACATCGGGACAACCTGCTACTCGTATTGGTGTTTGGCAACACACAGGTACACCGGATGCAAAATAGTGAGTAGGCGCAAAAACATCCACAAATTAATCACACGAATTCCTGGTCCTTCAAGTTCCAAGAAAATCTACTGAACTGAACTACCTTAAAAATGTTTTAAGAGACTTTTTTCACAAACAAGAAAAATGCACAAAAATGAGATAATAGTTTTGCTTTTATTCCTTTCTGAGAGGTTGTGGACCTCAGTAAAGAAAAAAAGGTTTCTATATCACTGTAATAGAACCCTAATTAATAGATGCAATTTTGGATACAATGATCTTGTGAGAGCATAAAATTACTACTGATATATCACCCATTCTACTGCATTCAGTCACCCATCAAACTTACAAAAATCCCCTGCAAAACCCAAACACAATTGCCGGACCTTTTCCAACTACGCTTTTAGCCAAAGCTACCTACCTATTGTGAACACAACACGGTTATTCGACATGCCCAAAACTACGTCGGAGGTGATCAGAAAAACTAAATATAAAAAAAATTGAAAGGAGACTGAAAAGAAGAAACTATGGTACATCCCACGAGCAGCAGTTAACTGGGAAAATTTTCAGGCGGCGATTCCTGGCCTCAAAACCTTTTTCCCACTTGTCGCACTCCCAGTGGTCAGCATGGTAAAACATCTTCAGACACAATCATCTGGTTTATGAGCGACCAATTTGAGATTACTTTCGATTACTTTCTGGGTTATGGAACCATGGGAGGGGAAGGAATCTGAATCCTCGATGGCATGAGTAATATAAAAGCGTGTAGTTATGACAATTTCTCGATTACCAAGGCTTCAGATATCATGTCAGTGTCGCACCATGAACTGAAGAACCTGTGTCTGAAGCATGCAAAGAAGCTGGGGCATGCGGTTGCTGCATATGTGATTCATTTGCAAGGCCAAGAAATATCAGAGTTGACCTGCCAAAATACAACCTTGTTAAATTCATTGAATACAAAGACAAGGACTTGAGTTCACCTGTCCCATGCCCAAGAAAAAAAGAACATCCAAATTGGGAATTACAGGACATTTTGACATCAAAAAATACCCTCCATTAAGAACTTAATAATGTTAAGTCTGTTGGAGAAGTAATGGACATGGGGGGGAACCAAATAAATTTTAACTATTGAAATCAAGACCTATAATCCGATTACTTGACTGTTTAGTAGTGTTTTTGTTTTCAAAATTTTTGAAAACTAGAATCAAAAGCACACTTGGTTAACTATTTTTGTTGCCAGAAATCAGTTTGAAAAAGTTTGGGGAAAAAAAAAAAGAAAAAAAAAGAGAGAACAAAAAATGTGTTCATTTTTTCCCAAATAAAGTTTCCATTCTCTCCCTCCTCCCTACTGGGCAACCCCCAGCCACTCTAGCCACTCCTTCCGCCCACTTTCCCACTGACCCGAACATGTTTTCTTACTTCTGTTTTATTTTTCAAGAAAACATAAGAGTGTACCAAACATGTCATTTGTTTTTGTTTTTAGCACAAACGGGGAAAAAAAAGTTCTTTTTTGTGAGTAAAAAACTGAAAACTGGCAACATACCAAACACTAGTTATTAACATTATTCCAGTCAAAAGAGAACCCACTAAACTCCTACTTGCCAAGGTCTACATAAAATTCTGTGCACATATAATTGAAAGAAAAAGGATACTTATTTTGCTCAAATGCAGCCACACTATCATAATGCGATTATGATCCATCACAATTTGTAATAACACCAGCAACCAAATTTTGAATTTAGGATTTTGTTCACAATTACATATATTAAAATTTTTAATTTCCACATGAGACTTCAATGTATTACAACTTCCATCCACAACCTCCTACAATCAAATTGACATCTTAACATTCTTGAGCATTTCTTTATATTTAAACATATATCACAGATTGTATATATTGTTGGAGTGTTCCCACACAGACAGATGATAAAAAAACTTGAGTTCAACTATCATCATGAGGAAATCCTTGGCAGTATTGAAAGTTCAAACATGTTGATCTGGGTCATCAAACTGAAGGGTGTGCAAATGCTGTATATTTAAAAACATATGTGATAACCCAAAAAGTCAGACCTAGCTAACTTTCGAGCTACTTACTATTTTCAGTAGAATGGTGATCTTAACTGCTCTATCTCGGTAAGAAATTCAATCCATCTCTACATAAGAAAGAGCCCAAAATTTACAATTCGAAGGCACTCCATTAGAGAGGTCAATACCAACACCAATAAGTTTCAATGGGAAATTTAGTCAAACGTCTCTTAACATAATTGTGTAGTATTAAAAGGACATGTGAAATTTTTTAATGTATAGAACCCTTTAAAATTTATTTTTCATGGATTAAGGACATAAAAAACATATGCCTTTTTACTTTAGGCAATCTTGCCCTTTTTATCTTCCGTCACTTCTCTTTTCTTATTTCAACCATCAACAAGTTCACAATTTCAGAATTTTCTAGTCGAAATCTATCAAATAAGATACAAGTTCGCAATTTCTACAAGATTTCAAGAGATGGTTCCACAATTGAGTTATGGAAATTCAATGATTGTTATATTTCGAGCCTTGTTTGTGGTATTTCGATGATTGTTTGGATCGAAACTTACGATTACACCGTAGAAATTCAAGGTAGTTTAGATTGGATGACATCAAGAGTTTGATATGTATTTCGTTTGTTTCTTCAAATGAAAAGTGAACAATTGTTGAAGGTTTTTTCAGGTGAGATTGAAGATCGAACAATGTGTATTTGCATTTGTTATGATTATTTTTTACTGAATCAGAACGAAAAATGGTTTTTTGTTTGTCATTAGGTTAATTTATTTGGTTTGCTCTGGGGAATATGTGGCTTATGTTTTGTTTGTTGATGCTCTGTTTAAAAGTAACGGTAAAATTTTATTCTAGTTTGCTATTGCAATATTTAATTTGTTTGTTTGTTGATACTTTATTCATTCTAGTTTTACTCTGTTAACATTCTCATTTCATTATTTTAAAGTTTTTTATTCAACATTTCTATTTGTGGAAGTAACAATTATAGTGGCTATGATGTTTAGTGATAGTGATGGTGATGGTATTTCACTATTTAAATGCTAAAATTTCACAATAAAATTTGTTGTGAAACAGAGTAAAATTTTATTGCTGACATTAGTTTCGACAGTACAAATTTTATTATTTTTTTAGAATTTCATGGCCAACTATTTGATAGATTTCGATGAGAAAATTCTAAAAATACAAGGTTGTTTCGTTTCATAACTTAGAATCCACTTTTCAGAAAATTGAAGCTTTTTGTTTTCTGTGTTTTTTTTATTTTACTGAATTTTTTTAATTTTTAGATACACCTAACATAAATACACTTAAAAAGTATAATATTTGTGAAGAAAATCTTTAAAAAATTCACTAAATACCAAAAATACAAAAATTTAGCATATTTTTCGTATTCTTGTGTATTTATTGATTTTTTTAAAAATATTTTTTTACAAATATTTTAGTTGTTAAATACATCTAATTAAGGGGAATCTAAAAAAGTAAAAAATTTGCTTAAAATTTTAAAAATATTCACTAAAAACAAAAAAACACGAAAAATAAAAAAACTCAATTTCTAGAAAATTGAATGCATAAAATTGAAACCAAACACAATGAATTTTATTAAAAACTGACGTCTAAATCAAAAGTTCATTTTACAGTTTTAAATATAAAGTTAGTCACTAAGGATATTTTGATAATAGTGGTGTGTGTTGTCCTTTTCAAGGCAATTTTTTTGCAATTGTTCTTAATGCATGAAAGTTTTGTTATGAGGGAGCTTTGACCAAATTTCCCAGTTTTGATCTTCCCTAAAAATTAATGAAGGGCTTTGTAGTAACAATAAAACCATCCCAAAAATAAATAAATAAATAAAATTATTCAACCTATGTGAAACAAGGAGAGAGAGACAGAGAAAAAAAAAAGAGTCAAGAACTCCTAAACCTTCTATTAATACATTGGGGGTGTTTCAGAAGAGTGTTGGGCTTAAAATAGCCGACTAAGAGACAAAATAGGCTAAAATAGCCAACAAGACAAATGTCACATCTAACCCATAATCATTTCATTTGTTCCCTCACAACTATCAAATCAACTACAAAAAAAAAAAGACCAACCAACTTCCCAAACACAACTATTTTAGCAATGCTAAAATAGCCAAAAAGCCAAATAGTCAACTAAAATAGTCAATTTTTCAAACAAGGCCATTATAAGTACGTACAAACTATTTCAAAGAGACTTGCTCATTTCTGTAATTCCACTAAATTAACAATAAGGGTTTGATTTTGCCTTCCTGTAAACAGGAATCAGAGTGTTGTGCTGGAAAAATACGACAACTAATAAGATGAAGGATGCGGAGTTCCTTTGACACAAGGTGAGTGATTGATCAAGGACAAGAAAACTGTACCTAGGTAGTGAAGTCCTTATTCTAGGTTGGCTGGCATAAGCAGCAAGGGGACCTCTGAGGTTAGCATACTTGTTGAGAGCACTTTCAAGCTGTGGTGGTGGTAACTGCAAGCCACAAATAGGTGGAAAAAGCTGTAAAAATAAAAAAATAAAAGAAAGCGGAATGTGAAGCATGTATGAGTGAAGTGTATCTACCTGTAACAATACGCGGAAAGAATGTGGTTGTGTCTGAGAGACACATTTTAGGAACCCAACCCATAATTTTGGCATTCTCCAAATCTACATCCAATTTGTACAAAAGGAATCAGTTTCTTCTCTTATAGCCGCACAAGCAATCAGTAATCGCTGCTCGTGAAACCACTAGGTCAAAATTTTATAAACAACAACAAAAAAAAAAAAAAAGCAATTCAATTTCAGTAATACCTGTTTACTCACAAGCTTGGAAAAAAAAAAAAAAAAAAAAAAAAGAGAGCAATTCAATTTCAGTAATACCTGTTTACTCACAAGCTTGGAAAGTATTTCCATGACAAAATCAACCTGGATTTTTTGAAAAAAAAAAAAATGGACTGTTATAATGGAACCTAACAACCAAACATTTCCTGTGATTATATATCTTCCAAATCATCTACACTAAGAATCCGTCCTTCCCTTCCAAAAGGCAATTTTAGTAAATAATCAAATATAATGCTTGGGCCAAAAACTATGACTAAGTTCCTGCTGGAAATTTGTGTTAATGTATATAATAAGATAGTGGCATGTATATAATATGATAGTGGTGTTGCTGGCAGATAGTGGCATGTATAGAATATGATAGTGGTGTTGCTGGCAGATAGTGGCATGTATAGAATATGATAGTGGTGTTGCTGGCAGATAGTGGCATGTATATAATATGATAGTGGTAGATAGTGGTAATATATAATATGTAAGTGGCATATAATGGGTTATAATGATGTTTGTAATATCTCCTATATAAGGAGTGTCATTTGGTCTTGTAAGATAAGAAGTTTTGAATATAACAGAAATATATTCCTTCTTCCTCATATTTTCGGAGTTCTTCTTCCTCATATTTTCTAAGTAATATTCCTTCTTCCTCATATTTTCGGAGTTCTTCTTCCTCATATTTTCTAAGTGTTCCTCTCTGTGCAATTCTTGTTAAAAAACAAGCACGACTGTTATAAACTATGACAAAGTTCCTCTACATATAATTTAACCAAATAATGAGATACTTCATATTGTTGTAAGCCTTGACCTTCATTTTTTTCCATATAGTTCAACCACAGATTTAAAATTCTGGTTGGTAGTGGTAAAACAGTAGTTAAAATTGTTACATGGTCTTGGATAGAACTCAAATCCAAAAACTAGTTGCTCAAGCGAGGGCACCCTCATATACTACATAGTCCTTTCGTACCTAAGCAATGTAGGCCTTCACTTCACCCTCCCTCATGTACAACGTACGTGCTCACTCGATAGCACTAGCCACAAGTAGGCCAATGACACACCCTATCCATCCTAAGATACTTCGACTCTAATACCATGTTATATAGTCTTAGGTAGAACTCAACCCTAAAAAACTATTTATTGAGGTGATGCACTCTCATGCTCATGCACTGAAAATTAATTTTGTACTCATGCGATGTGGGATTTCACTTCACAAAAATAGCATATTAATACATCAACCCCGACATACATTTATTCTTTTTTTTTTCCCCCCCTCTTCTAGGGCTTTGATTAACAGTGGAAAGACATCATTCTCGGACATTCTTTGACGAAAACTTAATAAAAACATGAAGTTTTTCTTGGTTATTAACTTACTGCAGGATGTGATGCCATTAATTGGCAATATATATTTTTTTTCCTTTTTCCGGCAACCACATCGTGATATTAATTGGGATCAAGGTTTTAAAAAGCAGCCGCAACCGTTGCGTAACGCCGTTACGTAACGGTTTTAGTGATTACCGCCATCCGTTACGGCCGCTTTTGCGGTGTGATTGAGATTCACAAGTGTGTAGGCCGTAGCGACTGCCATAGCGGTCGTAACGGTGCCGTAACGGCCTGTTACGCACCGTTACATAACGGTTCCGAACTGCTTCTTTTGAAAAAAATTAAAAAAAAGAGCTGAAAATAGGGGAAGAGGGATAGAGAGAAGAGGGAAGTAAGAGATAGAGAAAGGGAAGATGAAGAACATGTTATTGATTTGTTGAAACTATAAGACCTATGCTATTCTACTCCGTTGCTATCACTCAACTATTTTGTTTGTGTGTGTCTATCTATATATTGTTTGAAAATAATAATAATAAGTGTAGTCATTATCTATTTGGCTTGATTAAAAATATATATATATATTTAAACTCTTATTTATTCTCTTACTTTTGTCATTGTTTATCTTATATATAATAGTTAGTAATTAATTTTTTTGTAAAATATCTAGAAAACATAACACCTATAATTATATATTAATACATATTTTACACATGTCAATTTTTTTTTTATTAGTTTATTTTATTTTTATTTACACGTTATCCAAAAAGAGAATGAATAAACACACAAAAAAATAATAATAATTCTTTATAATTTATTTTTTAATTTTTATATGATTATATTAGCATGTATAATTTATTTTTTAAAACTATTCAAGTTAAAATTTGCACATGCTTCTACAAGTATAATAATTAAAAAAATAATTTTATACATCTAAGTCCAATAAATTGTTTTTTGCCACAAGCGTAATATGGATTTATAACATATAAAGTCATTAATAATTAAAACCAAATGTAAAAAACTCAGTTTATAGTGATTTAAAAATATGAAATATATTGGATCAGACTAAAAAATTTATAAAAATTGATCAATATTTATTTTAAAACCCAATAAATATGATTATGGAAAAAAAAAATATGCGTATCAGTAAGTTTTTTTCAAATTGCGCGAAAAATAAAAAAATTCACAGTTCCGATTACCGCAACTGTTATGCTATGGCCTTTACACCCCGCACCCGCAACCGCAACCGCGCCACCGCCACCGTTACGGCGACCGCAAGCGCTTTTTAGAACCTTAATTCTCATTCACCTATCACATCAAATTTTTTTTTGAACAAATCTATCACATCGACTTGTTGATGTGTTTTCTAGCATATCTTTTGGGGACACTTTTAGTCATTTGAATCTTTACTTATTTTGACAACAAGAATCTTTTAATTAACTAGCAGTAGATGGTATTCGCCATTTCAAAATCAATGTTGGAGAAAATTGAAGCGTATATTAACCTACTGCTAAAAAGACCCCAACTTACGTATGAGCTGCTTGTAAGTAGAGCTACAAATGAATAGAGTCATTCGTGAACAGACTCAAGCTCGGCTCAGTAAGAGCTCGTTCGAACTCGGTTCGTTAATTTCTTTTTGCGTTCGAGCTCGAGCTTGAGCTCATTAAAATTTTAATAAACAAGTCCAAACATACTAAAGCTCGGCTCGATAGTTGGCTCATTGAATATTTATTATTTATTTATTAAATAATGTAAAAATATGTTTAACAAATAAAATAAATGTGTTATTTATATATTTAAAAAATGTAAATGTAAATAGTAGACAACAATAGTGGTGGTAGATATTATAAAATTTGGACTTTTTTTATTATGTTTATATATATTGTATATATAATTGTATAATTAAATTTTAATTGTAACTTTAGTCTCATATGCAACTATGAATTTATAAATTTTTTGGCTCGATAAGTCTCATGAACAAGCTCGAGCTCGAGCTCGAGTCAAGCTCCAGCCAACTCGGCTCGAGCTCAGTTCGTTAAATTTTTATTGAGTTCGAGCTCAAACTCGTTAAAATCTTAATAAACAAGCCCAAACATACTAAAGTTCAGCTCGGCTAGGCTCGTTTGCAGCCCTACTTGTAAGTTGCAACTAAATACTACATCTTATTCTACCCGTATTTGACTTCACATGTTAACCAAATTTTTTGTCTGAAATTATAGTTCTGGTAATTAGATTTTTATCTAACATCAAGTACTAGATTCATAGCACCAGCTGCAGTATAAGACAAATACTAATTCTGTATTCCTTTATTGGAATCCCTATTGAAAACTAAATTAGTAAGATGAACAAAAACTTATCCATCAAACAAACTGAAACAAAATACAATTCAATCAAATTAAATGCATCTTTAGCAGTCCCCCTGCCTGAGGGTTTGGCTAGAAGAAAATCACAGTCCAATAAATGCACATGATGTTATAACCTAAGAACCACAGATATAGACACAAGACGCAACCAAACACGTCTACACAACAATATTAAAAAAATTAAGAACACGACACATGGAGGACACACACAAGTTAAACATATATAGTTTACATTTATTAGAAGTCATATTAATGAATATATCATTCAAAGGTAATAACAAATGAGTCATTTAACACTAATTTCTATAAATCTACATTTTTTTTTAAACTTTGTATTGTAAGTTATTTTGCTCAAAATTATATTTAGTTTTATGTGTTTTAATGATGGATGGGTATTTCCCCCAAGTCTCTGAAGAGTGTCTAGGTCTTTAAAAAAAAGTAACAGGACATGTTTGGACAAGTGTTCGACATGTCTCGGGAAGTGTGTGATGAGTCGGTGTCCGACATAGACACAACACAGCACGGACACACCACTTTATTAGAAGTGTCCATGCTTCTTCGTTTATAACTACGCCAAGTTCACCACGCTGAAGTACACATCCCCATTTTGTTCTTACTTATTTCCATTTCATCAGAATCAAGAAATAAGTACAAGACTTGCAATTTTAGACAAATAAACACAATTTGGACAAAGAGAAACAATGTAAACCGCTGAACAATATGTCAGAGCAAACCATTCTCCCAGTTAGGTATTAACAGTATGCTAAAGTGCTGTCCTAACATACTGCTCTGAGTGACCTCAACTTAATATAGATTATCTTTTAAGAGAGTTACTTTGAATACTACAAGAATAAAATAAGTCTATGAAACCAACACAAGCTCACTGCATGCACAGACATTGCTAATTAAAAATTGAGTTTAATCACCAAGAGCTGTAATTACCAGTGAGGGAAAAGCATCAATTGCTTGAATCACTGTCCTCATGAAGAGCAGAGGTAGAGGGGTTTGGTCAACCTGCAAAATCAAACAATTAAAACACATAACATAATATCCAGAAGTTTCCAATTTGTGCAAGGATAACTTTAGCATACCATCTGGTTCAAGGCCTTTGCCAAGACCTGCTGTGTGAAAACTGTGCGCTGCTCAAAGCAAGCAGTGCAAGCGTCTGTAATCTGAAAAGAAATAACAGAGTAACATAAACATACATTTCAATGGGTAATTGCACTGAAAATTTGGGGATTGAGCACTTGGGGGCCTATTAAAACAATCAAGAAGATGACATGGCCACTGCTAGATGTGATACAAATGTGCACCATCTAACTCACATTTAGTATGGTAAGTAGATCCCAACTAGCTAACTCCAAGTGGTCCGTAAAAGGCTTTGATGAGTTGAGTTGTTTAAGGTCCAATGTGATGCATATTAAAAAATCTGAAGATTCTGAACCTTCTAAACTTGACTAATGTAGTACTCTTCCCCATTTATTGGTTGAGACATATTTCCTCATATAACTAGTGATATTAGTTATAAAACTACAATCAAGTAAAATTTTAGCAACTTAAGATTTCCACTTTGGAAGATACATTAAGACAAGAGGAGGCATCCCCACGTTGAGAGCAATATCGATACATGTGTTTTCCATAACATCTTTAGAATATAATAGATTTAAAAACCAATGCTTCCAATATGAATGAAACTACCAAAAGATTGAATACATGCCTTTTTAAGTGCAAGGCCATCTTTCTCAGGAGTAATGTCATGGATTGCAACCAAAACTTCTGCTGGTGTCAATGCTGGGCCTGTATGTGCTGAACCCTGCCACAACTCACTATAAACACTCAGCAATTTTCTTGAGTTTCAAGCAACAACTAAATATTTGTCTCAATTAGCATTCAAATTCAAGATTTTTGCTGCAAAGCAAAAAAGTACCTAGGTTATGTGACTTATGTCAACATTTAAACAGAATTCGTGCTCTCTTTTTAGTAGTAGAAACAAAAATAGTTGAAGTCAGTATAAATATAGAACTACAATTTGAGTGAACAAAGGAGTTCAACAAACAACCTCAGCTTTGCATCTACCAAAACATTCTCTAAACATATAATCAATTAACAAAATAAAATTTCCAATAAATATATATATAAATATAATATGTTGAGCAGTTATGGCACAAACAATTCCACGTCAATAAGCATTTTCTTCTCCACAGCAATTACAGTGGTTGAATATCCTTGAAAGTTAGTTGTCTCCTATATATTTTTACCAAGTCTTCATTCTAATATTCATCCACAACTCAATTTAATTAAATGTTTAGTTTCAAAAGAATATCACAGCGGTCCCAAATTTTCATCAAGAATAGAATGAATAACAGACAGTGAAAGCTCGTTCAATCAAGCACACAAAGGGACAAGCACCAGACACAAACCTTAAACATGACAGGTAAATAAATAGATGGCATTGATTCCTACCCGGAGTATATGAGCAAGTGCTGCCTGAAACTTATCCAGTGGAAGGTCGACAAGCCGAGGGAAAATTGGTAAAACCTGATACCATAAGATGATTAAATAATACAGATATTAAGTAGTTTACAAAGAGTCAACAACAATACAAAGTTTAAAATTTTAGTTACTTTCAGCTGTGGAGAAAAAATACAGGGTAATACTTATGAAACACATTAAGCAATTAAAGAAATGCTGCATAGTAGATTAAAAGAGAGAAGAAATTTATAGTGAATCAGCGTAAACATTGAGATGGCGTTCTATTCCATTAGGAGCCTCTACTTTATTCCTTAGGACTCCAAATTGCCTAGTTAGAGAAAGTTCCTGGATATATGCATGTGTGTGTGTGTGAGTTTACATCATTTACTACTATGAGTTTTAAATCTGTGAGCATGGACACAGACAGAGACACGAAGTCGCAACATTTCTCTAATAACTACAAGGTCACATTGAATGTATATATTAAATCCAAATAAAAAACTAACATTATTTAAATCGAATTGGGGACCAAAAAAAATACACAAATAACAATAACATTATCAATATATCAACCCAAAAAAAAAAAAAACACTAGATAAACCAAAAGAAGATCATCCTACACGTGTCGGACATTAATGAGTGATGCTAGATCAAGCGTGTTTCATAGTTTAGCACAATAAGTATCTAGTCAACAATCATTGGAGGTCATTGCAAGACTATAAAGGTTATTGAGTGTCATGGACATGAGACATAACAACAACATTTCGAGTTTCCTCACTTTCTTCTTCCCAGTTCATAATATTTTACAATTTAACAATTTAGATCTAATGGTTGTTATGCGGTAGGGTATTCTCGTATTATTTTCTTCTTGATTATTTATTTGAGAGTGTCCTCAGGGGGTCCAGAACGTGTTCCAATGTATTTGTAATTCATTCAGACACTTTTTATGAGTTCGACATGTGTTCGAGTGTGTCTATGTCACAGACGTGATTGACACTGATATGTAGGTCTAGGAGAGATGTTTGTACTTCCTAGCCATTGGGGAGCTGGACATGTAATTGTATTGATAATTCAGACAGTTATGTAAGAACTTCTTGGTGGTATTTTGGTCATCATGCTTTCATTTTTAAAGATTTGTCATTTTTAAGCGAGTCATGTGACTGCTTAGAGGCAGATTAGTCATTTTATTCTCTTTCATTTCACTGAAAAGAATAATGGCTTATATTAGATTTAAATAAAGGACTAAGGGCATGTTTGATTAGTAGGATTATAGCATAGGATTGGAATTGTTAGTCCATGGACTCACAATCCCATGTTTGATTACAAATTTTATTAACCGAATTACATGTACGGCGAACATTCAATCTAATAAAATTAGCGAATTTTTAATATTGAGAGGGGTTGAGGATTATAATTTCAAGTATGAATGAAAAAAAAAATGAAAAATGAATACATAATAAATAGTTATATCACTAATTTAATTGGATAACTAATCCTACACTAATTCATGAGATTATTAATCCTTTCACTATAATCCCATTAATCAAACAAGGCCTAAGATCCTATTTTTGTTAGGGAAACACCAGAATGTTTTTAAAGGGTCATTCCAGCTTGAATTCAGGTTTTGGACCATCATTTATGATATTACAAACTACTATATCAGTTTTCCCCCTATCCCTTTGTATTGGTATTGAGACACAAGTTTTTAAATAATGAGTAGGAAGGGAATAAGTCAAAATGGAGTTGGGACACATTGTTCATATGGAAGAAATTAGATGGAGGCAGAAGGCAAGGGATTCATGACAGGAATATTCAGTTCTTTCACAAATTGACCAACACCCATAGGACACAAAACTATGTAAGAGTTTAGAAATTAATGGGGTGGAGAGGAGGGAGGGGATTAAGAGCAAAGTGATTCAGTTTTATGAGAGGCTTTATGCTGAGACCAATGATAAAAGGCCTCGTCTTGATGACTTGGCCTAGAGAGGCAGTTTACTGAAGAGGAAGTCATGGGAGTCTTGGAAGACTAATGGGGATAAGGTACCAGGCCTAGACAAGTTGACAATGCATTCCATTTGGCCTCTTAGAGCTTTGTCAGGGGGTACATTATAGCGCTGTACCATCACTTTAATGAGTCCGGGTGTTTTAAGAAAAAGCTCAATACCTTGTTTATATATGAGAAAATATAACAATTATGACTAGCAAAAACTACACATAGAAGGAAGAAAAATGTGAAGTGTACCTCAGTTTTGGACAAGGATGACAGCATTGGAATAAGAATCGTAGCATCCTGCAAGAAAAAAAATTCCATATAAAGACCAAAATAGCAAGAAAAAAATTAACAACAATGAACATAGAACATCAAAATTTGTCAATAGCAAAACCTTTAGTTTAGTTTCATATAAGTGTTTAACAGTGGCAATCAGATCAGCAGTAGGTGTTGTCCCTTCAGACAAAATATGTAGCACCTTGCAGGAAAACAAAAAGACCAGTATCAGCATTGCTTATGACCAGAAAATTTAAGAAGAAAAACAAAAGACTGCCAATTTTCAAACATTTTCTTTTCATATCTTCAACAATCATAAAGTCTAGAAAAAGGAACCTACCTGTGTCAGAAGATTTTCACTTCCCTGTGGTGGATCAGATATAATACGGAGCAATTCAGAATATGCGGACCCTAGGGCCCTCATAAGAATAGGAATGTGGCGATGGATGGCCTGCATCATCTCCAAAGGTTCAGAGCAATTACATGTAGCCCAAGAGAATTACAATGAAAATGAAGAAACAAATAAAAAATTAGCCGCAAGAGGCTTGTTCCTGGTAAAGAGAGTGCTCTACTTTCCCATGAACAGATCATGAGGCCAATCTGAACTGTCAATCTATACTTTCTCATATAAACTACAGCCACTGACATTCATACTGAAGGAGAAAAGGCAAAATTTTCAGGACACTGCAGTGAAAGTGCTGATAGCCCATAGTGGCAAACCAATGCAACCTTGGAACCCAGTAACTGCAGTATGTTCACCGAAATTGAACACCGGTCTATAGAGTCAATCCAAGAACTAGCCAAAGCCTTACACACCACAAATTTACACATCGTAGATACTCATCTATATCAATTTTACCCAAGAAAATTTGCCCAAATCCAGATTTTTTAAAATGTCTGGATGATAATTATGAATCTCTCTTCTTTTCTTCTTTTTTTTTGTGGCACAGTCAAGTTGACAGGAAAACAGAACTCTAAAAACAAACTGACTTCAAGTTTGTTTTCTGTTAGCATGGCATGGGTTATTTCAGCGCCATAGCGCCTGGTACTTGCACATTAGCTCAAGGCATTAACCTGTTATTACCCAAAAAAGCAAGGTCACCATAAGTGTCATTCAACAAATAACCATCTTTTGGCTAACCTAGCCTCCTCCATCCCTGAGAGTAAATGAATAAGAAAGTATGTGTCTACATTTGTTGATGCACTTTGGTGACTAGTGAAGGGAATGAACCCACGGGGCCAACATTGCCACTAGGGTTGCTCATCTTATTCTAGGGTAGCACTCTCTATGGAAAGATGAGTGGTTGTGCTTCACTAGCCAAATCCATGAACCTACAGCTCGATCTACTAGCTCTCTCTTCGATCCTTCTAACCTTTGCTTTGCCCTCGTTTATGAACCCTTGGAAAAACTTTTTTAAAAAAAAAGTACTCACGAGAAAGCAAGCTACCCTCAAAACCTTGAATTAATACCCAGGCCGAAACGAATAGAAAATTCCTTCCAGGATAACATCTGATTGAATCCAATCGGAATGTTGCCTACTATGAATTCCTTCCCAGAGACTGGAGTTGATCAATGGTTATTGCTCTTAGTCACTAGACCGATTCCTATCTATGGTCAATTTTATTGATCAGCCCTGGAAAACTCCTACATCCACTGAATCCCGAAAGGGACTGAAACTATTCTAAATAACAGAATTACGATGGGAAAAGATGGGCATTGACAGATCTGTCTTGACTAGCTGTCATCCGGCTGGACAAGAAGAGTTTTGCTGGGGCTGTGAAGCTGGATCACATTTTTGATTGCTCGGCTCACTTCATATTCCATTATAGCCACGCTCAGGTTTCTAACAAGCCAGTTGAAGAACTCCAACACCTCTTGTTAAGGAATTGGGGAGCCCACAAGCACACAGGAACACTGACCCAATTCGTTGGGGAGAAACTTCAAAGTCCACATAGTTAACACTAGGGCCTAACATGCATTATTTGGAACTCATACTCACTTAAAAGGTTAAGCTCATAAGTGGAGAGCCCATCTAACGTATATATATATTTATTTTTATTTGATAAATAGCCCATCTAATGTATATTAAAACCCATCTCTTTTACTCTTTATCCAATGTAAGACTCTACCTTTACATATGCTCCAACACCTCTTCCTCTTGCTTGTGTTGCATATGCTGGTTTTGTTGCTTAATGGGGGTGTTTGGAGTAGCTGTTAAAACATATTATAGACTATGACTTAACGGATTATAAATTATAACATTAATCAGAAGAAGTTACTCTGTTTGGTGTAGCTACTGAGTTATAGATTTAAGTTGCTGAGTAATTTTTGGTAAATAAACTGTAAAATAGCTTTTTGATGTGTAAATGTCCTTTTTACTCCTATTAATTGTAAATTGAAATAGCCTTTCATAGTTGTAAATTGAATTAACTTTTATTTTTTGCTATTCACTATTAGTCCACATTTTTCATAAAAAAATAAATAAAAATAATCCATAGTCCATTTGGGTCTTTTTCTATTTTCAAATAAATAAATAACGAAGGGTATAATCGTAAATTAACATTCCCACAACAAAAACTGATAATCAGAAGCAGGAGTAGACAACTTCTCAAAATCAGCTTTTTTGAGTTAAAATAAGTTACTGGAATCATAACCTATTTCAAATAAATTTAACCAAATAGTCCAAAATAGTTTTTCCAATGCTAGAATCTATAAGTTGGCCAAAATAAGCCACACCAAACACCCCCAATATCATTATGATTCCATGTTACTAGAAAAACCTAATTCCCAAGTGAATTCCTTTTTATTACACACGTTTCAAAACATGGTACACTTTCGTTCCAAAACAGTAAACTTAACAATCTGAAATGATCTCAAAAGTTTCTTCCAATATATTTCCGTAGGATGAAAAAACAACTAAAAGCTAAGATGATGAAAGTTTTGACAAGACAAGACGTCAAAAATGGACCATAATGCTCATATAGAAATGTGTTGCTAATTTGGAAAAATTACTACATTTTATTGGATGTCTAATTGTTAAAAGAAAATTATTCCAAAAGTATCTTAAATTATTATAGTATAATCTATACAAGTTTACTCCTATCAATACCACATTTTAAAGCATGTGGCATACCATGTTCCCGTTCCCGTTCCATATACCGAAACGATCCGCGTTCCAGATAACATAGTTTTGATTTAGACAATGAGTCTACAACTAAATTTTACAGTCGGCCAGACTACCCCTCGTCAGTTCTGAGGGACAAAGGAGGTTCGGTTAGATGAAAGATGGCTAACAGTTCAATCTGTCAAGTCCAATAACAAACCGACTCAGGGACAGGTTGGCTTGCTTTGGTCTTAGGTCAAACCAACATAGAATGCACCCGGTGCTCTACAAATTACAAAGGTTCCCTGGTACAGAATTTGTCGCATATGCAGGTTCACAGAACCCACTCAAATCTGTCCATCTCAGCTTTTATTTTAACGTTACTGATCTACAAAGCATAATATTCTAGAATGCATAAACAGGCTACTTGAAGCATTTTTTTATTAACTTTTACAATCATATGAATCAATACAACAAAATAGAAATGAACCTGCTTAACAGCCTTTGGAGCTCGTGCATAATTATCAAATACAAGTTGAAGTTGACTAGGTTTCTGCAAAAAACAAACAATGGCCGCACAGGGGGGAGGGGGAGAGAGAGAGAGAGATTAAATGAGTTCCAAACAGTAAGGACAAAAAAAAAACACAGAAACAACTTAATCATATTCTTTCTCAGTAACAGAGCAGAGTCAAAACCTTTGTACATAAAGCAAAAAACAAAGAAATAAGGCGTTGCGCTTCAGCAAATGAAACTGAGGAATCAGTTTGGGAGTCAGATTGTGCACCCTTCAAGGAGTCATTTTCAGATGTTCCAGGCTCTGAAAATTGAGAACCACTAACAGATGTCTCCTGGCTTCCTCTCTGAAAATAATTTGATGAAACAAATAAATGAACAAAAATAGATTGAAGATTATTAGATTTTAGTAAAATTAGCAGTTTAATAATAACAGATAGTTCTAGTAAAGGTATGCCTACTAATTAAATTTGAATTTCAAGGAAACTACATAACAAAAAAAGATTTGCAGGTTACAAACCATCAGTTCAGCTAACGTAGAAGAGTTGGACAAACTCTGGTTACTGTTTATGTACAAACAGCAACAGATACATATTAATATTCTTTGTTTTGATTAGTTATTTATTCATTTCTGACATTACAGGCAAAAGGAACCCCAATCCCAGACTCCTCATCTTGTCTCAAGAAAGGGTTATCAGCAAAGCACCAAAATATGCATCTGGCCAAAACGCATATTTGGTCATTAGTTAAGCAACAAGGTATTCATGAACAGTGTCTTGAAAATACCATGCATAAGCTCAAATTTACAACTGTGACATGAGTGAGGAATCCTAAATTAAGAATAAATTTACAAGAAAAATGGATTTAAAGGAGCAAAAAATTAATGATTCCTAACAGCATACCCATGGTATATCTTGAAAATTGAAATCATAAAGGAATAATGGAAGTTGATTTGGGGAACATTTTTTCTTCTCTTCTTTTTCTTTTTTTTCTTTTTTTTTTTTGGCTTGCAGCAGCACAAACAAATTTGAAAGGTTTCAGTTTCGCAGACCACAATTTTAAAAAGCAGATGCTTCGAGTAGAAGAACACTAATAGTAGAGAGAAAGAAAGACTACCATTAAAAAAAGGGATAAAAATAGCTTCGTTCTATTACTATAGTTTATACATCTTACAACCAAATAGCCAGTAAAGTTGTTCACACATGAAATACCAAAAAAACAACTGCCAAAGGGTACAAATCATCTACCAAATCTTGAGTCTACAGATGCCTTCTCAATGCAACATAAATATCTTTCCAAGTCCCATCACATTACAGTGATGTAACTACAGAAGCCTTAAAAAACATACCTCTCAGCACCCATAGCATTACCATGATGAAACTTTTTCACATTAATCATGCCTCAGCTTTTTGACATTTAAAAATCAAGGAGGAAAGAATAAAAGAATGTGATTGGATATACAAGAAACATATGCCACATACCTCCCCTTCTGTTCTTTGTTCAGTGAACACAGATTGTGAAAGCTCTACATCAGAAACACGCTGATCAACAGCTGACAACAACATATTTGTCGCGAATCTCTCAATATCTTCTGAAATGTGGTTAAGGGAATAGAGTTTATTTGCTACCTGCCAAACAAATTGCCACACAAGTTTCAGAAGTTATTAGCACACAAAAGACAATATAATCAGTGCTTCCCAAGACCAAAACTAATTATTTGTTTCAACAGCTTGAAAAACCCATTAGACAATTCCTAAATTGCTAAGAAGTCAATAGTCCTCATACCAGTCGGATAGCTTTTGCACGAATTTCATCTTGTGAATGAACAGCACACTGCCATTAACAAAACCATAAATAAGTAAAAAAACACAACAAGGTAATAAGTAAAATACACAAATCTTCAATGTGAAAGCATTAACCATTTTTCAAATAGGTTTGCCACTTTACACATACGACGGACCAATCATTATTTTATTTGACAAAATCAATAAACCCTGGGACAAACTATATATGAAGAGCATTTGCAAATATGCTTTTATACCAAAAACAAGGTAATAAACATTAAAAATAATCAGATTAAACAATTATCAAACAATAAAATGGTCAAGATCTACTATTTAGAGTACATAAAAATAATTTGTTTCTACAAAGATTTGCACCATTACATGAAAGTGAACAATTCATACAATTCATGAAAAGCATGTATAATTGACAATTTGACACAAAAAAAAAAAAAAAGAAATTACACCCCATTATCACAACCAAAGTATTTAATCAAACAGAGGAAAAAGATAAAGGAAACACTATGTATGTAACAACTCAATTGTCACCAAAGATTGAGTTTCAACTTTCAGCTATCTAGCCCTAAGGTATTGCTGACCACCATTCTATTGCATTATATGATTACATCACATACTTGACAAAAGTTCTTCCAGTGTGGTGGTCATTCACTTCATTTTTTCTCAATATTATTCCAGATCCGACCTTGTTAATACAAAGGACAAAGACTAGCCGGCAAGTAAAACCACACACAAAAAATGGACCATCTACCCAATAGATAAGCTCTCAAATGGAAGAAGTAAATGAAAGTCGGAAATTTTGGATAATAAATCACCCTTTAAACAAGTATTATTCCACCTTCAAAATGACGAAACACCTTCAATGTTCAAGATCAACATGGTTAATGTTAGACTTGTCCCACATCATCTCTCTAGGCCACCCAAGCTTGGGTAACATACTAGAGAGGCGACGAGAGTAATCTCTCGCCTCTTATCTCTCTATCACATGCTATCTGGGCTGCATATGTAGGGGAGTGTTAGACTTGTCCCACATCGTCTCTCTAGATCACCCAAGCTTGGTTAACATACTAGAGAGGCCCCTCCACTTATAATCAATTGGTTTTGGATTGAATGTTTTAACGGTTAGATGGTAGTATGGTACCCAAGGATTAAAGCCAATCAATGATGAGAATTCATATGGCTCTTTACGAAAAAGAAATAATTGTGACAGAGACAAAAAGAATCTACACAATTTTACATGCCTTGCACAGGGCTCAAAACATTTTAACCATTTCTACCCTTGCACAAATAGCCTCACAGTTAATCAAGGAACCACATCTTCCCCAAGAGAGAGAGAGAGAGAGAGAGAGATTCAACATGCTTAAACTGGCAAATATATTTAGAAGATCAATAGTTCAGGCACTAATATAGTCATTAGCAGGCACAAGATATGTGTCCTTCAAAACTCATATAGCACACTTCAGAGACATTATGATTACAAGACAGCATTTCACCATGGCAGTGTTAGACAAAAGAACTTCAAAATTATTGAGGATGGCCAGCAGAACTAGATTCATATCCATTGTTACAACAAGCTCATTTTAAAGTCACCAACAATGCTAGGGCTCAAAGGTAACCAAGCTGAACTGAGCCAAGCATTGGCTGCTCAAGCTTGGCCCAGTTAATGTAGTTTGAGCTCATCTGAGCTCAACTGCTCAAATCAAGCCAAGAAATCAATGTTCGAGATTGGCAGCAGCTTTGATGTAGGACAACACATTGAGAAATTTAGAAGCTGAAATTGATAGGTTTTCGTTGCGATTTAAGGCTGTTATATAGTGAAAATTTTAGGGGTTTAAATATGCATGGACGTAAGGTCAAGGCTTACTTCAATAAGGAGAAGGAGAGAATTACGAGGCTGTTATGGGTGCTTTGAACAGTTTTTTTGTACTTTTGGATTGTTCTAGATGATCTAGAATTAGGGAATTAGGATAGGAAGATTTAGGCTTAGAGAATAAGATGTAAAGATGGAAATGGTTGGCCTGTTAAAGTGCAGAGAATTCAACAAAGGAAGAAAAAGACAAAAAAAGTTAGTGCTAAGAATCACTCCTAAAAGCCTTAAGCACGACACCTACAAAAAGATTGCATTGCACAATCTCCAAAAGAAGCATCTTTGTTGGAAATAATTCTCTTAAAATAATTCTTTATTAAATTAGAAACAATTACATGGCTTCTACAGACTTAAAATTATTCCTGAATCCTAACCTAATAGGAATTGGATTTCCAATTAGGAAACTAAGACGACCCATAGATAATTCAAAAAATAAAAAAATAAATAGTGCATAACTTGACCCATATCACAACCCTACTGGCCACATCCAGCAAATCTGGAAATTACCAGAATACACCTGAACTAAAAAAATGGACCACCAACATAGATAATGAAATATAAGCATAAGCATAAGACAAGACCCACAAGGCTAAAGCATAATCATCCAAGGCCCCAAGTGGCTTATGCATCATCTAATGCATGTCAAATCAAAACTTGGGACTCAGAAGCCTTTCTTTTGCGCCTCTTGTACACGTTTAGAGGTTGTTGCCATGATTCATGGATGACGATTTATGTGCTTCTTCCTACGTGCATCCATATGTTCCATGTTGAATGAACGACAAACGGTTTCTAATTAGAAAAGCTTGCCCTATTTACCATAGGTTCCTTCAAAATTACAACATATATATATTTGAGCTATCTATGGCCATCATTCATTCGTCACCTTCAGTTTACTATTTCTTTTGCTAGGCAAGTGAGTTATGCTTTGTAGTTTACTAGAACCGAACCCTATTATGTTTCTCAAATTATTTTGACTGAATAGTCATTTGTATTGTTGAATTATAGTTGTTTATGTTCATTATTGGTTTTTTAGGTTGAGTTAACTTTAGATTTTGGTTTTTTGACTCTCTCACAATAACTGGGTTTCTAATTTCTACTTCAAGAACTTGTATGTTAGGACCTCACGTTACGTTACTATAACTTTTATATATTAATTTAGGTTTTGTGTAGTTGTTTTTCATTTTTCTATATTTTTAGGGCTTTGTGTTTGTTGTGGATTTCTAAATATTAACTGTTTTTAAAATGGAAATTGTGAAAATTTTAAGTTTGGATCACAGAAACTGAATTTCACATTTTAAGAGACTAAAATTTTGAGATTTTACAATTTAAATACCAAAAAGTGTAAAATTTCATAGTTTTGGTACCAAATTGTGATATTTCTCACAACTGAAATTGTGAGATTTCATAATTCTAGAAATTGAAAATGTCCATCAACACTCGTTTGTCTCTCACCTTCTACAAGTATGAAATCTCACACACTATCAATATCCATCAATGCTACATATATATTTCACCTTTTAAAGTCTGAAATTTCACACTTTTTGACCTATGTTCAACACTCATATATATATCATCTTCCTGTAAGTGTTGAAATTTTACACTTTTTAAAGTGTAAAATTTCACACTTCTAGACTAAAAAATGTGTGAAATTTTACTCTTTTTTTTAACATATTTTCATGATAGATCTTGACCAATAGGTTCAAAAATATAAATTTTATTTTTTTTAAAAAAAAAGTGTATAGTGAAAGTTATGGAATTCTAAAATTTAAAACACAAAAGGATATACAATTTATCACATCAGCACGCCATAAGTGCGCATACCACATTTCCAATTGTTGACCACTCAAAAACAAGGGCAAAACAGTCTAAAAATTTGCTGAAATTTTGAAAAAAGGACTTAAGCTCCAAACAATTTATACAATGGGACTTTCCAGATGGAGGAGAAAAAAATTTAATGGGACCTAATGGGAAACAAGTCAGCTGGTGGGACTTCCCATTAGTTCCTCCTTAAAAAAAATAAAATTATTTTTTTAAAAAAAAAAAAATCAAAACACTAGGGCATTTTTTATGTCAGCAACCTTTGTATAACAAACCCATAAGCCTTTAGGCATAATAAGGGGGCAATGTGTAATTTATCCAATTTTTTAGCAAGCTTGCACTTGTGTCAAATGCAACCACAAACAGAATGTGTAAATCTTGCTGGAAGTTAAGAGTTTGGTGGACATCATGGTTAGAATTAAAATAGACGCATTATTTAAATATTGTCACATAGGTGGTAAAAAACAGAAGTGTTGCCAACTGTAAACATATCTAAAAGAACAGGAGATTAAAGCATATAAATACGAATATCTCAGGGTATGAAATTCTCATCCCCAGATTACCTTCAAAGCAATATCTAAGCAGGCTTGCCGATTTAGTGGACGCCCCAAAATCAAGCTCCACACAGCACCAAGGCCCTGAGTCACACGATCACCATCACGACTATCTTTTCCGCAGTGATAACTAGAGTAGCATAAATTGTCCAACAATTTTAATGCAGAATCAGGCAAAAATGGAACTTCACCCAGAAGTCGACTAAAAGATTTGTCAGTAGCTGGCAGAGCATCCAGCAAAGACCTCGCCTACAACAGAAGAATGTAAATGTATAATTATAATATCAAAGAAAATAAGGTTTAACCAGATAAGAAAGCACTTACCACTCCCAGGAGAAATTTTTCATATACACCAGTAGCAAATGAAGATTGTTCAACTGAACTGGAGATCATGAGAGTATGCAGATGGTACAGTACATGCATAGCAAGCTCATGCCCCTGACAAAAAAAAAAAACAATTAAAAAAATTATATATTGGAGTTTAACAAAGAAATCTTTGAAGGAAGGAATTGCAAAGTATATTTTTGACAAGAAAAAATTCATTTAAAAAACGCCTTAAAAGGAACAAACCCTATACACTCAAAAGGCCAAGGTACACTTACAAATCACCTATAAATTACACAAAAGAAGAAATAGAGAAAAGACAGTCGTCTCTGAACCCAATAAATAGAGAAATGACAATGATCCTTTCAAACCTCTAATGGGAGGCTCAATACCATCAAAGGACCTCCTATTAAGTTCTCTCCAAATTGTACACAAAACACATAAAGTTGCAGTCTACCATGCCTTCTCCCACTGAGAAGGCATAGCTCATGCAACACCAAAAATTGAGCACATCAAACTACAAAGATCACTGGCAACTAGACAATGACAGAGGAGGTTTTAACACTTTCCCCCACCTGCTTACACCTGCAACACCAATCAACTATCACCTTGCAGCCACTCAACCAATCCCTCCACACCCCCTCTTTGACATCTAACAATGTAATCTTCTCCAAAAGTCAGGCTATCTTAATGTTTACTCGGCCATAGACTCCATGTTCCAAATATTTAGGGCTTGTTCGGTTTTTATCTCAAGATATAATTTTTGAGAAAAAATTTCAAAATTTCGTTTGGTTAAAATTTCCAAAATCACTTTCTCTCTCCTACACATCAATCAATCACTTTTTCTCTCTCCTCTCTCCTTCTCAATCACTTTTTCTCTCACATACATCCACTCAACTACAACAAAATATCAAATCATCCCAAACTCCAAAACAATTTTCAAAATATACAACCAAACAAACTAAAAAAATTCTAAACTCTCCCCAAAAAAATTTTTGAAAATTTATCTCAAAACACAAACTAAACACACCCTTATATTCTACTTGAATAGCTTTAATTTCTTTGTCAATTGGAGACTCAGAAACCAGGATTGCCATCTACCAATCAAGAAGCACAATGACGTGATTTGACATTGGCGATCGATGGCAAGCAAGGCCAAACTACACTAGGTGGTCCTCCAAGCCAAAACAGATCAAAAACCTATCCAACCTGGACATAGAGGGAGAAACTCTAAAATTGCATCACGTAAATTTGCTTCATAGGGTTAAACCCATCAGCTCATCTGTTGCAATCTAAGAAGCACCGACACTTCTAAGAAGGTAATGTGTCGTGTCATGTCCAACACCGACCAAACACGACGGACACTTTTCAACACTTAGACACATAAGAAACAACACTTTACAAGCTTGAATAAAATAACTCGGAACCCAATGACAAAACAAAAACAACGTAAATTTATACCTATTCTTCTTTTTTAGATTTTAAAAAATTATTATCTTGAGTTAAATATTCATATACATGATATATAATAATTTATCCTTATATATGACATAATAATATAAAAAATTATATATTTTCCATGTGTCCCCCATATGTTGTGTGTCCTGATTTTTTGAAAATTTGTGTCTCGACGTGTCCATGTTTGTGCTTCTTATCACAACCCAACCTTTCAGCCAGAAATATGATGATATCACCAGGGTAATTCCAGCTTACCTTCAGCGCTAATAACTCAATCAATGACTGAAATACTTCAATATTGCACCAATTTCACGAAAGGTCCTTTTCAATTTCTATTATCGATTCCCATTTGTATCTGTACCAATAGTAGCAACAGATATGATCTCCACATGCTTCTTGAATTGCCTTCCAAACTCGTCCATAAAAACTGAAAAAAAGGACTAACAGCATTCATAGATAAAATAATTCCTACATAATACGACTGCTCAAACTCTTTAGAAGATATCACCTCTCTAATATCCACAACCAAATACCCAACCTTATTCTTCACACCACATTGCCTTGCTAAAGGCCCAACCCCCTTCTATCCATCATAATTAACCGAATATTGGAACCTTCTTAATTCCCTTTCTTTCCTAGGGGATGCCTTTCCACCACCCTTTTTTCTTACCCTTGCAAATCTCACGATACTCTTGATAATCATCGCTCTTTTCTTTCATCTTTTTTATCCTCATCATCCAATTCTTTTACCAATGTAACCAATTCGTCAAACTATTCTTTGCTTGGGAAACCAACTCTATCATTAGTGAATGTATTCTCTACTTATAATACTAATCCAATCACAAAGTTACAGAGTCTAGATGCAATACCCCAAAACTAATAGTCTCACAATGATGCCAATACTCGGGGAGATTTGGCATCCAATAAAAGGAACCAATTGGTGCAGAAGAACTTAGGAAAACTTAAGGCCAAGCTGCTTATGATTCATGGCAAGAAAGGGTTGTCAACTTTAGAATTAAATAGACAAGTCGGAAGAATTTATAGTTTGGGTACAAAAGGGAATTGAATTAGATTTAGTTTACAAAGAGACAGGGAGCTGGATGTTAGAACCAATATCTAGAACAGCAACTATTTTATGATATTATAGTGTGAAATTAAAGGCCAAATGGAGGGGAAGGGTTTTTCAAAGCACTACACAAATTATCAAACCTCACTATTTCATTAAACCTGTTACATCACATGTATATATACTTTTTGACCAAGATTTGACCTTCTGACACTTGACCCACGAAAATATGATTTAAACAAGATTCATAAACCCATAATGCAGCACATCGATCCAAACTACAACCCAACCCAGCAAATCTAAAAATTATCTAAACACCCTTCACTATTAAAACCTAATAACACAAATAAAATTAAGTAATAAATAACTTAATTTAAACATCACCATTCAAAATTCCAGCTACACTAAATTTCTTTTTAACATGCTCTGCAACACCTATTCTATTGCAATTGTAATGAGTCTTCGAGTAGGAACCCAGAACAAGAAGTCGAAGAAAGAACCCCAGCCCAATAGGCAACCACAGGCAGTGATAGATAGAATGATAAAAATTCTCAGTACTATTGTGGGTTCATTTCTCCAAAAGCATTGCTGGATGGTTTAGGATACACTACATGAAATCTAACAGATTTATCATATATCACATCAGATCTCAACAAGTATGTTAGTTGGGTAAATTATGATTTAAACGCACAAGGTTCATGAAGCAGATACCTTCTGGTATTGGTAATCTGAGACGATATGCTTTTGCATCATCAAAGCCACATCATCATCACCATCAATCTGCAAGAAACGTACATATATGTCAATGCTTTTCTTTTCAGGCAGCAGATAAGAGACACATTAATCAATAATGTAAAAGCTAGGCCACAAATACTGTCAAAGAGCTAATAAAATACATGACATGTTCATGAAATACTCAAGCCGCAGTTGAGAGTATAAAAATATCACAAATCACACAGCTGAACACAGATTTAACAAAAAGCTGGTTCACTACTTTTTGTAAAAACTCACTAAACTAAAATGAATCAAAAGCCACCAAGCCTTTCAAGTATGAGTTTCCAAGAATCCCAAACAAGTGCTTTAAACTAAGCCTTGCGTCCCAATCAAGTGGGGTCGACTACATAAATGTTTTTTCGGCTTTATGCTCTATATATACTCAATTAAGTTAAATAAATTCATACATTTTCTTACTACAGCATCCCATGTCAGTTTTGGTCATCCCCTTCCCCTAACAACTCCATTTATGGTGATTATATCACTCTTTCTTACTATTGCAACTATAAGTCTTCGTTGTACATAACCACACCATCTTAGCTTGCTCTCTTTCAACTTATCTTCAATTGGTGCTACTCTTACCATTTGACGAATATATTCATTTCTAATCCTATCTTTCCTATTCTTACCATGCATCCATCAAGCATTCTCATATTAGCTGCACTCGTTTTACAAACAAGGTGTTTCTTATTTGCCCAACGTTCTGTTTCGTAAAACATCACTAGCTTTACAGTCGTTCTATAAAATCTTCCTCTCAATTTTGTTGGTATTCATAGATCACATAATATGTCAAACGCAACCCACTTGAGCCAACCTACTTATGAATCACATCATTTGCAACTCACCATCCTTATTAATAATCGAACATAATTAACAAAAAATTTCACTATTAATTAACTCCGAGTATTCAATTATCATCTCTATTATTTCCACGTATATTGGTACTAAAATTACATTCCATGTATTCAATTTTATTTCTACATTTTAAATCCCTTTGACTGGAGTGCTTGTTTCTAAATTTCTAACTTGAGTTAATTTGTTCCTTAGTTTCATGTACTAGAAATAAATCATCAGAAAGAAACACACACCATGGAACATCATCTTGAATGCGTTCAATTAATTCATCCATGACAAAGCCAAATAAGCAAGCATTTAAAATCGACCCTTGATGCAACCATACAGTGATTACAAATTCACTAGTTTATCCTACAAGTGATCCAATTGTAAGTACAACTCCCTCCTTGTACATGCTGCATTATTTTATACCCTTAAGTCACTTTTCCTTTCTTTTTTTCTTTTCTTTTTTTTTTGATAAATACCCTTAAGTCACATTTTTTCTACAACACCCACCATATTACAGCTCTACGTTTATCGTAAGCTTTTCCTCTGTGTAATTCTCTATAATCTCCTTAATAAACAAATCGCTTCCATAGTTAATCTCATGGGCATAAATCCAAACTGATTCTCTAACAATGTTGTTGTCACCCTTGAGCGATGTCAATCACTATCTCCCACAATTTCATTATATAGCTCATTAACTTAATGCTTTTATAGTTGCAATTTTGAATATCATCATTTTTTTTTAGATATAGATACTAAAATACAATTCTCCACCAATCAAGCATTTTTCTAGGTCACTAGTATCTTATTAAATAATTTAGTTAACCAAGACACTCCTTCCTTACCTAAGCATTTCCAAGCCATAATAGGGATACAATCTAATCCTAATGCCTTACCTGATTTCATCATCTTCAGTGCAAATTCCCCGTCAAATTCCCTTAGTCGACGATAAACCTATATTCTCTAGTTCTATCAATGCTATCATAATTTTTTTAAATGTTTTTCATTTTACAAATTCTCAAAATAACTTTTTGAACTTGCTCTAATCTCCTCATCTTTCACTAACGCCCTTAAATCTTCACTTATTATACACTTAACCTAATTAAAGTATCTTGTTTTCATTTCTTTCAATTTAGCAAGCTTGTAGATATTCTTTTATCCATTTTTACTATCTAGTATAAAGATCGTCGTAGGCTTTTGACTTAGCATCTCTAATTGTCCTTTTAACCTTCTTGTTCACCAACTTGTATCTCTTAAAATTTTTCTCATTTTCATCATTTTGTCACATTTTACAACTATTCCTTTTTGGTTTTTGCTATGGCTTGTATCTCACTATTCCATCATCATGTAACTTTAAATATAGAATAATACTAGGAGTCATGAAAAAAATATCATGAAACGCATCATGAAGATTTTTCATCCCTTGATTAGTGTGTGGTGTTTTATTTTAGGTGTAATCCAAAGATAGAGAATCTTTCGTGATCATTTTCATGATTCGTAGCATTACTAAATATAGGGCCATTTTCCTTTGATATTTTTTTAACACATTATGCTGTTGTATTTCACATATTATTAGCATCACCTTCCACACTCCATGTTGCTTCTTTAAACATTTTATCCTTCACTATTTCTAATTTCTTGCCTTTTAGATTCCACCATCTAGTTCGTGGGTTTTAACATATTTCTGGTTTGATTTTGCCCTTTAATGTATATATCTAGTGTGGTTAGTCTATGTTGTGATGTTAGACACTATCCAGGAATAACCTTGCACTCTTTACATATTAAGCAATCTGATTTTCTTGTAAGAAAATAATCTATTTGACCTATTTTTGAAAGTTATCAAGTGTTCTCTCTTTTCGAAGGAGTTGGTAATTAATAAGATCAAATGCTACTGTGAAATCCAAGATGCCCTCTTCAGCCTCATTTTGGTCACCACAATGCATATCCACCATGCCCTCTCGCACCCTTGCTTATCCTTTCCTACATGACCATTGAAATCTCCACCTATAATTTTCTTCTCTTCTATAGTTATTTTATGCAAACTCATCCAATTGATCCCAAACATGTCCTTCACTCAATGTAAATTTTATTTCTCTCGCAAATATGCATACAAGAGCTATCATCCTATGGTACATCTCAACGTAAATATCTTTCAAGTACAATATAAAGAAGCATCATTTCTTGTTAAATATAATATTAGCAGGTTCTGATTAAGGATCTAGACTCAGACAGCCTTCATATAGGATTCAAAAGCCATCCTTTAACTGGATCTGTAAATAAAAATAAAAATAAATAAATAAAAGAGGGGGAGAGGAACACATGGGATTTTCTAGGCCACTCACTTGCATGAACCTTTTATACAAAGTACATAAGACAAAAGCATCAGAGTCTTAGCATTTCCAGTCTCAGACTTCTCCAACATCCAGTTGGCAAATGACTACTTTTAAGGCATCTGTTGAAATTTTGCCTCAATGAACCAACTTCAATTGTTCTGTATCACCTGTTCCTAAATGATTTTGCAACCATTAGTCACTCCACAGAAACTCCTTCAATAAGGTCATTTATAAATTCAAATCTAGCGTCCAATGCAGAGTCAGATTTTACTTTTCAGTTGAACATTGTCAAAGTACTGTATCAAGCTCCCAATGCCAAGTAGAAACATAATCAAACAGGAGCATTCCCTAGGCCCCCGTAGTTACACCTGGACTACCAATAACAGCAACCAGGCTTGAAACATAAAACTAAGAAAGAAGTTATTTCTTTTCTTGAACTTCTCTATTCGTCTCTTGTAAGTCACTTGGCATCGATGATTCAACTGAGTACTGAATGAATTTAGCAAAATCACTTGCGAACTAAGCAACTCACGCAATAAACTACATCACTTAAATCATAGTCTTTATCAAGATTTTTATAATTTTTCTTAATATTTTCAAAATTGTGCTCTAGCTTGATAGATAAATCACAGGACTTCTGGCATGACAAAATTTTCAAGCATTAAATGCAAACCAGTGCTTAGTACTTTGGTCACTCAAAACTCAACATCAGATAGCAAATAAAAATATAAAAGCAATGAAATGGCCACACGATTATTAATCATTATTTGAAATTTTCATGATGTGGTTTATTAAAATATCACACTTGTCACTGTATATCAACTCTACATTTGGTTGAAAAAGTCACAACAAAATAAACAGAAAAAAGTTAACAATCAATGCCTCAAAGTGACAAATAAGAAATAGGCTTTCCAATCGAGCAACCAATCAAAAGACAAGTCGACCCAACCTGAGCAACCAAACGAGCAAGCAGTGCCATGCGTGTCTGGCTACAATCTGTCCCTCGTAGATGCTTGTATGATTCAATAATCCGTTCAACAGCCAACTTTTTCACATTTCTCTGCTGTTCTTCTGTCAGCTCAGTGTAAGATGGAAGCACAGGTAAATCAGGACAAGCCTCTTCAGAGACGGTCATGTTTGAATCAGAGGGAGAAAGCTGATCACATTGTAACAGAGCTGATGTATTTTCCTCGTTTGTTGCTGCAATACATGATGGCTTTGATGCCACCAAGTCCTCGTCATCTTCGTGAACAGGAGAAACTGCAGGATCTAAAGCAGTATTGACCTCCAGAACAGGGACAATTTCAGTGGCTTCTTCATCAAAAACCACCCCCTTAGGAGGTGGTTGATCACTTCTAGAATCTACTGGATCACTTCTGGAAACAACTGGATCACTTCTATAAACAACTGGACTTTCTAATATTTGCAAATCGACTTCCATTTTGGGCATCAGAGACACCGAAGTATTTTCAACACTTGTGACCACAGGGAGTGAAGAAACAAACTCAGATTTCATATCATTAGTATCCTCCACAGTAGGCGTTGGTGGCACTTCAACAGATATTGCTGCACGTCGTGGGTCAAGGCGACGGGGATCCTGGAAAGTTAATACTCTTTTAATTTGGACTAAAGACCAAATATTAGGAAGGTTCTAGATAAATAATATACTGAGGATTGAGAAAGTCAAGAGTAACAGAAGAAAAAATAAAAGACAGAAAACTGGTAATTATGAAATTATTGAACTTACCCTTCTTGGATCACGTTTAGAATCTGCTAGGAGGTTGATGGAAATAGACATGTCTGCTATAGATGTGCTGATCACATTAGATGAAGAGGAAGGTGTTTGTACTGCAAGCACCGGAGACTGAATAGAAGCTGTGGACCCAATTGGCACAGCAACCGAAGGTGGACCACTTGAACCACTTTGTTGAGTTACGCTACTAAGTCTCGTTAATGGTGGAGGGTTTGTAGGCAAGTGCTTCATATTAGTTATGACAATATCAGCCAACAAATCAGGATGGAGTTGAGATATTAGAATTTCAAGTGATTCAGCACCTCTTTCTCCTTCTGCAATTAAAGCACCAATCATGGCAATCATTTGTTCAACAGGAGTCAGGCCACTGTCCAACAAAGGAACCTTAGAAGATACTCCATTAACAGCTAAATCATGCCCAGAATCATTTATTTGAACTGGTGGATCAGAGTGGTTACTAGGACCACGACGAATTCTTTTGGAAGCCATATCATAACCGTTGTCTGGCTCTTCATTTTCCAGAGGCATATACCTTTTTCTTACGGCATCTCCAGCAACAGGCAGCTGACTTGATGGTTGATCATCCTGACAAACAGAGATTCGAATTGGCTACAGTTACAAAAGTGGAACTGGCAATCCATAGGATCACAAATAGCAAAAATAAGGCAACGGCCCCTCCCACCAAAATAAATTACCTTGGTCAACCGTGCATCACGCAAAGCACGCTCGTTATTTTTCATCATTTTATCAACTTGACGGATAACTTGATCAGCGGCATCCCCAGCATTCATTCCTCGTAGTGCCCTAAGCAATCTATCTCTTGACTGTTGATAAAACAAAACAACTTGTCAGCAACGAGCTCCAGACATAATGAGCTGTTAGACATACTGAAGATCAGAAATACAGTTCCAGGGCTTCTCAATGAATGATCTGATGGATATTACAATTCCTTTCATTCATCCATACAGATTGGCACCACAAAGAGCCCTTCAAATATCGTACAATTGTGTACTTGGCCCTCTGGGATTCATTTTAGTAAAGAAAAATGAATATCATTTGAAAAATAAATAAATAAATATGAACTTCCTTCAAACAGTATTCTCACTGATTTATTTAGTGAAAATATCTTTTCTATAACCACCATGGGGAAACCATTAGACAGTCCCACAAATTGTAGATTGACACTAATTCACTAATTTCAATTTCATTACATATTAAAGTTGAGATGACAAGCTTGGCTATAAGAGAAAATTAAACAACATGGGAATTAAATTCATTGTAAAGGATTATTTGAATTTGTAGAATGTTACGAAAAAATTTACCTCCACAATGACAGGATAAGTGCACCTAAGGAACCCCAGAAAAGCAGTTCTTAAAGAATACTGAATACTGGCCATATGACCTCCCTTCACTGTCTCAAAGTTTGGTTCAAAATCAAGCAATGCAGAAAGAACAAAATTATAGTGGAGTGGCCTCTTCCTTGCTATGGCTGCAAGACTGAAAATACACATCAACATTAGAATCATAAAATATATAATAGGGAGAACAGTGAGACAATAAAAGCAGGACAACATGGATTTAAGATCTCAATGACAACAAAAATAAATAATAGAATCAGATCAAACAGCCAAGACAACAATAAATGCACAGTAACATGGCCTTACTTCACAAAATGTACAGGAAATAAAACCCAAACCACATTCGAAAAAATGTTAGCAGTTCCAAATTTTCACATAGAACTTCTCTTGTAATAGGTACAACCTCAACTTGAAGTTAGTTTCAAATATTCTGAGAACTATGACCTTAGAGAGAAGCTAACGCCCATGCCAAGGCAGCTTGAAGTTGAGGGCAGACATTCCTTTTTTTTTCTTTCCTTCTTTTTTTCTTTTTCAATGCAGATTTTTAGTTATCTGATCTGATACTAACTGAAAAGGTCAATAACATGGGTCTCAGTGGCTACATGAAGGTGAATACATGAAAATGCACCCAATAGGTGTCTCCATGATGGCCTCAACCACGGAATAATACATCCTTGTTACATGGTTCTACTGTAAATTACCATCCACCTGGGTGTATGCATGCCACTTTTCAGCGTTAACTAGAATTACCCTCTACTTCGTATTGATGCAAGTTTCTTTTTTAAGGCTTCCATTCCAGTTCAACAGTTAGAAGCCTCAGTTACAACTACAAACAACTCAGCCAGCCTGAACGAAACCAAATCTTATAGTAAAAACCAAAAAAAATTTCTGTTGGCAAGCAGATATTTCTAGCGGGTAGATGACATTAACTATTATCAAGGCAAAGCTATATTAATCTTTTGAACTCACAAATAAAGACCTGTCATCCTGCAAAGATGATAGAACACCAACTTTGTGGACATAAATGTTTTGACAGAGAGATGAAAGATATGGTACTTGCGGGGGAACATGAATATTTTTTTTTTTTTTAATTCATAAAATGGATATGCAGATAGACTACTCCACATACCCGTCAGGGAGTATTGCCCCTTAACACCCACAGCATATCTGCAGAGAACCTAACCACACTTACGGCGGGGCCTAAGCTTAGGCCCCCCCGCGTGCTCCATGTGCTAAAGAGTATGTTTAACCCCAACAAGGAGCTATGGAGACTCGAACCCAGGCTTTCAGCGAGGGATTCGAAGGCCTTACCACTAAACCAACCCCCTATTAGTGGGGGAACATGAATATTGCATTCCTAGGAGAAGAAGGCATCATCATCAGTACTAATATCCTTATTTTCAATGTGCCAATTCAATCACCTTATTGCTGGCCAATATTACCACCATGACCAGTGGCACCAATGCTACATTGCTCCCACGACTGTAATGACCACCACACATACCACAACCACAACCACAAACACCAGCTTTGTTAAACTGTAATGACCACCACATACCAATTCCCACTACCCTCTTAAAACCTTACACCAACCATCAACATTCACTGCAAGCTCTAACATGGCATACATAATCACCATTACCTCTCTCACCATTTTCAGTAGCTAACAGCCACTTACTTTGAGAACCCATGGCTACCAACACAATCAACATATCATAAGGACATCCAACAATTTTGACTACGTTAAAACCCTGATGCCACCAATGCTATTACTGCCTATGATATCATAATAAGAAGATCCAGCACTGCCTCCAACGCCACCATCTACTACCTCAAACTCACTTCGCACTCATCATAGCCATAAATCATTTCTATCACGCAACCCATGATCTTCAGCAATAGTCATACTACCAGTACAAATGCTAGCAACACCTTCAAGAATCACTTAAGAATTCTACAACCACCACATCACTTTTAGTAGATATTACCACTCCTTGTTATCCCCTCAACAATGAAATTGCCATAGAAATCCACAACCATCATTAATTTGCAGCATAAAATGTCGTTCCAGTTTCATTAAGAACTCTAATTCTTAAAACTCACCAAAGAAACAGACTTCAATTTTTCATCATTCCAATTCTTAGGATCAACAAGTCAAGGACCTTTTGCAATTTCCCATATGAAATGCATTCCAACTAGAAGGATCCAAGACATATTGGTACAATTCATCAGTACAAAAAAATAGCCACCATGTATTACTGCAACAAATCCACAACAACTACTTCTACTTCATAAAAATTTGAATCAATATAAAATGTCTTGCATGCATACCAAATTAAAGCAAATATACCATACGAATTATACGGAAAAAATTTCTTTTTTTGTACTAAAAGAGCCTCCTACAGTTGAATTCCTGTCCTCCCACGGCTACTAATAGACTACTGCAAGGACAACCATAGAAGCGATAAAACCCCAAGAACTAAAACCATCATATAACCAAACTTGGAACAAGGCATCCATTCTAATGACAAATGAAAGCCCACAAAGAAAACAAGGAACAAAAGGGTTGACAGAATGGACTAAGTAAACACTAACTCTTCCACTAACAAAACAACTATTAGGGACTGTCAATCCAGTCAATATAGACAATGAGCACCAAGAACTTTGTCCAAAAAGGTTATACACAAGACAACCAATTTAAACAGGACAGACGCATCATAGTTTCTTTTTGTAGAATGCAAGTAATGTCCTCAATAAAAAAATAAAACTAAATAGAAAGTGATGCCAGATCCATCCCTTGAATCTTTTATCATCTCTATCCATAGTAGATCCCTCCATGACTTCTCTGCCATTCTAAAACCTGGCCAAGAATGTCTGCCTATTGTAGAGGTAGCTAACAGCTCGAGAGCTTCATGGGAAATCATACCTAGATGTCATGAGGATTGAAAATGAGGAAAGCCAGAACAGTACTTGAAAATTCTGTAACAGTAATGTACTAAAACCTGTTTCATCTTTTGCTATTAAGTTGTAAGGAATATTGAAGACGCTTCAAAACCAGCCTATCGCACAAACCTTAATATGAAATTCCTCAACAAAACTAGAGTTTTTTTTTTTTTTTGGATAAATTCCCCTGAAAGTGTACTATTGAAAACATCAACTTCTTTTCCACTATTACATAAGGTAGAAGAATTGCTTTAGACTACGAGCCCTACACCATGAATATTATCTACTCACCAACTTCCAAGAAACATTGCAAACATATTGCCATTTTTCCTGAACAAAGCTTTAAGAAGTAACTTGCCTACAAAATGCAAAACATCACAATCTATACAATGAAGAAAGAGTGCACTTTGTCAATCTTCAAACCAAAAACAAAGTAACTGGGACCAATAGACTTGCAAAACCAAGCTACAACCTCAAAATGAAGTCCATTATCCATATGACTATTAAAGATGTGAAATATTCACCATACGTCATGCGGTAAATGCAAAAATTATGAGAAATATACCATGAACTAAGTGGAGCATTTTGCATCACTGTTAGCCTTGGCCTGGATGTTGAGAAAACTAAAACTACACAAACACAAATTTCAAGTATCATAACCGCTAAAGAAAAACAGTATTGCTACCTACAATTTCCATTTTTTCTCCATAAATCCATTGTGTAATTTTTGGATAGTTCGATATACATTGTTAGGCTCATTTCCAAACAACTTAAACTTTTGGGACAATTGGTGACTTAACATGGTATCAGAGCTCAAGTTGGAGGAGGTCTTCAGTTCAAGTCTCTCTAGTTGCATTTGATCCCTGTTTGCATTCTCTGTCTCTCATTGACATTTTTTCTTCTCTCTATGTATCTCCACGTGCAAGATGGGATTGCACGTGAGGCAGGGTGTTGGATAGCTTCATACACATTGTTGGACCCATTTCCTAACATCTTAAGCATTTGAGACAATCAATGACTTAATAGTAACATATTAGTTTCCTCGGTTAACATGTCTATGTAATGATTCCACAAACTTATTTACAAGAAGGGAAAAACATTCATACTTCCCCAATAGCTCTTTTGAGCACCATTGAAGATAATACATTATTGTCATACTACTTAAACCTATTCCTAATTGTTCTACAATTATGGTAATATGAGCTCCTCAAAAGTTAACATCTTTGCTAGATAATTTCTTGGAGCATCATTCTAAACTGTCTTTTTGTTGTAAACAGTTTAATATAATGCATTAAATATAACAATCCAACAATTTTAATGATTTATTCAAACCTAATTTTAAAATCATGTAAGAAATTGTAGCTGCAATGCCTTCTCAATCTCACAGGCATTTTTAGAGGGTTGTCGCAGCTGCATGCAAAAGAAGAAATGAATCAAAAAAGTGCACAATTATTTGAGAATTTGTTTGAAATCCCTCAAATGCACAACTCCCATAAGAATAACATTGGGTCTTAAATCCATATGAATTACTTGAACGTCATTATTTGGGCAATCACAAATGCACATGAATTTCTTAGATGTCATTATTTGGGTAAAATGTGAGTTGCTTGATGTTCAGCTTACAGGACAATTTGTTCAGCTGAAAATTGTTCTCGTCAGTCATTCTTATTAGTGGAAAACTGTGCCAGCCCAAGCTGATGGACTATACAATACAATTAATTTCAAAAACAAAGGCTATTCTTTGGATGGCAACTTCAGTAACCTAACCAGGAGGAAGCCAAACACAATATGCCAGAAGCCTTTTACTTTTCAAAGCTATAAACAAGAGGTGAACAACCAAGAAAGTATATGGTCTGGAATATTGCTCATCATGAAAATGAATAAACATGAGAAGATTGAGCCCCAAAATGAGAGTGTAACATAACATGGGAAACAATACAAAATGGGGGAAAGAGACTTAGGACCCACAAAAAAGAAAGCAAAGCATGAATGATTGGGCAATGCCATCTCAAAAAAAATTGATTATTGTTGGTATTAACTGTGCATCAATGGTCATAAAATCCAATAATACATTGTCAACAACACTTATGCTACAGCTGTATGCAAATCAGTTGGAGATACCACACAACCGTGACACAATTTGTCTCTCAAACTATCAAACATATAATGTGTTGCTTGGCCAGTAAATTTTTCTCATCACATGAGATGGCCATTCTATCCATCTTTTAATAACTCCTATCACTTGCTGATGGTGTTGGCATCAGTTAGCTCCTATCTCCCATTATCTGAACCACCAATTCAGCAGTGCCAAGCACATGTCCAATGCCATTTAACTCCGCATAAAAGGCCTGGTCAGCATGCTGCAAAGCACAAACAAGCAGTTGAACTTGTACTGCGACCAGTGTCCAAGCTTTAGCAATGCCTCCAAAATTTTCAAAATAGAGAAACTGTTAAACCGCTTACAATCTATATTCATATAAAATTTGAGGCCTCTGTAAATATGAAGAAAGTTAATGTCACTAGCTAACAGTAAAGAGATAATGTTCTTATCCATATTCATAATGCAAATACAACACTCAGATTATTACTACAAGAAATCACTTTCTGGTAAAGGCAGAATGCAGGATAATGTCTAATAATCCCAATCCAACAAGGTTTTACAAATTCAGGTCAGGAAAACTTGAACGGAAACACACACTACAATTCCAATCCCCACACCAGAAACCATCATTGAGACAGATAACAAAACCATCCCAATTGACTAATATCAGCATGTTCAGCACATGTAAAAATGCATCATACAACTCTAGCAGCATAACAGGTATACACTAGTACTACAAACACATAAATCACACAAAAACGTAAACATGTATTATTTTAAACATGCTCATGATTTCTTATACATTATACAGAACTAGGAACAATGCATGAGATTTTTATGTTCTCAGAATTGTGTATCGCATAACAAGTAACACAACAAAGAGGTTTTTCCAAATGGAAGGTTTTAGCATCCCGTTAAGTAGAGAATACAATGTCCAAAAAGTACAATTTGCAAATCCTCCAGGAAGATCTACATTTCTAGACCTCCCACAACCAATTACGTAAGGTCATTAGTAGAAAAATATAGCCAAAAGAGGTGCCTGTTAAGTAGCCTTTTAAAAAAAAAAAAATTGTTCTTGTGTTTTTAGAAACAAAATCAATGAAAAGTTTAGAAACACCAATGTTTGAAGAGAGTTTTTGAGAATTCAGAAAATAATTTAAACTTTTTCCTAAAAATGAGGGTTTTTTCAGAAAGTTTTTCAGTGTCCAAAAAGTTTTCTGTATCAGTTCATTTTTCTGTTTTAAAGAACAGAAAATAATTTTTGAAATGAAACCAAACGCTGTTCCAAGGCTTCAAAAGAAAGTACTCAGACTGGGACAGCTGACTAGAAAAAAATATCTACTTCTAAATCACTAATGATTGATAAAAACAAAACTTGAAGAAACATATAATATACTCTAAGTCGGGCAGGTTAGGACCCTAAACAACTGATTGTATCTCGTAATTGTTATTTGCTCTTATATGAAATGTTCAGACTAAAAATATCATAAACATATATTTGCAGAAAAAAATTGAATAACTGATTGTTTTGTAAAGGACAACACCACAAGTGGGTCAAAAAATAGATTAATATTTAAACTAGCACAAAGATAATGGTCAAAACTATGAATCAAGATTCTGCAAAGACATTTCCTATGTCGGGATTCAAAGTAACTATCACTGCCCCACCTATATTCTCTTCGGCACTCGTAGTCTTTTTGGCACCTTTGAAACTAGTGGAAAGAAAGAAATTTGGACAAAATAAGGTAGCATTTTCTTGCAGCTCTACTTCAATTTCAATGAAAATTCATTCTCCTGCCAAATTGAATTGTTCTCTTTCCTATAATATTTATGACTTCTAGTTACTGTCAAAAGTTTCCTCTTCTTTCAGCACACTCCTTTGGCACCCATTAGTGTATTCACTCTAGTTAATATAATTTTTTAGATAAAGGGAAAAAAATAGTTTACCACAATACCATATAGAAAATAGACCTAAATTTGAAGGAATGTGAAATCAAGCAATGCACAAAACAAACAAATAAAAAAGCAAACAGATGGTCATTGATAACTCACCAATTAACAACAGATATTATCAAGGGTCCAGGCAGACTACTGGCCGAGTGCAACAAATCCAGTAGGATGCCAAGAGATCTATTTGCCTTTGATGTAAGTGCAACTGGATCCAAAACAGGGTGACCATCAACCAGCAATGAAACATTAAAAGCCCGTCCATTTCTTGGTACAGCTACAGGAAAAAAACAACAATCAAAAAAAATAATCAACAATCAAAGCCCATGAGTAGGAAGTGATTGGGTAAACAGCCTAAATGCAACATAACACGTGATGCATCAAATACACTCAAACCCCTAGGCCATTCAATGATTAAATGCAACACCTTCTGAGGCAGGCTTTTCAGTATCACCGGTGCCAGACGTAAAAAGTAAAACATATGTCTCCAAAAATTTCAAAGCCAGCAGCTTCGTACCAACAGAACCAGCCTAAAACATCAAATCCAAGAAAAGCTTTTGTTAGCTGTGTATTTCAAATCTCAACAGCAAGTTATCCCAAATTGTTCATATCAGATTTTCTCTTCAGCCATAACGCAACCACTTTGCCAACAAATGAGAAAGCAAATAAATGCATATGCAGAAAATACCAATCACGTTACAGCAACTGATATGATACCAAATTACATAGCATCACAGTCAAATATTATCATACTATTCCTATGGTTGAAGCAATAAGCATGTAAAAAAAGAGAACTACAGACAACAACTAAGAAAGAAGCACAAGCACTGACATGCTACAACACAACACAAACACGCCAACCAACACACAAATTTTCGAATAATGTAAAACACGACTCGTGGGGGACACAAACAAAATATATAATTTATATATTTACTATGTCATATATAAGGATAAATGATTATTATAAGTCATATATATGAATATTTAAGTCATCGGACATCAACACTTCTTGAACACTCTTAAATGTGTGTCTGACTTCTGCAACGTGTCCTAATTAAAAAAATCAAATTCATAATATCAGACACTCTTGGAAACTTTGACGACCCTTTTTGAACACTCTAAACACATCCTATGTGATGAATACCTTCAAAATAACAATGTTCTACATTTTTCAAAACACAACTTATGCACTATAAATATGTTTTAAAACATTTATAAGAAGAATACATCACATATATTATACAAAGTTCTATAATTGTCTTGCATGGTTTAGAATGTCATTGTTATGTGAATAGTATCTTGATGTTTAAGTTATGAAACATATAGGTTTTTTTTTTTATGTAGTTGGTGTTATATTACATATTTTTCATTATCTTTGAATTGAGAAAATTATTCACATATAATAAATTTGTAAAAATATAAAATTTTAACATGTTTCCAACCCAAGCATGTCGTTGCAATGTCGCATTGCATCGCATGTATGTGCATGTACTACTTAGGGGTTGTTTGGGATGAAGCTTTTTGGCTAAAACAACCACACACAAAAAATCACAAAAAAGCCAAAAAGTTAAAATGTCACATCTTATACATCAATCAATTATTTTTTCCTTCACAACCATCTATTCAACCAAAAAAACTATCCCAAACACACTAACTTTTTCCATCTCAAAAAAAAAAAAAGCCTTAAAGCCACTAAAAAAGCCAAAGTTCCCAAACGAGCTCTTAGATTTTTTAAGTCTAAAGGAGAAAAATAGGTAGAAATTACATTGTTTTAGTTTTATCATTAGATTCTAAGTTATTTTATTCAAACTATAAAGTATCTCATATGTGTCTATGTTAGGAAGCATCTGATGAGTGTCGTGTCGTATCGGTATCCGACACGATGTCAGACACGACACGTTACTTTCTTAGAAGTGTCTCTATTTCTTAGGAAAGCAACCTACCATATGGATGAGCAGTTCCTAAACAAACCAAAAAGCACTTCTTTCTCTCATGTAAATAATTTTCATCACATTTTAGCAAATATCCTTCTAAAATACCTCCCTACACCAAATGTCAAATAATGGGTCATTTCCGGGTTTGATCCCTCCCAGAGGGATCAAACCTGGATATTTAGGCCTCGTTTGGGAACAGTCTAATTTAGTAATTTTTTAGCTATTTGGCTAATATATAAGCTAAAAAAAGCTAGTATGTTTGGGATGACTTTTTGACTTTTTACAAAAATATGTGCAAAAAGTAGAGAGAAAAGAGAATCTTTGACTTTTTTGTATGGGTTGTTGGCTTTTTGGCTTTTTTAGTAGCTTTTTGACTTTTTGGCTAAATGGACTGGTTCCCAAACGAGGCCTTAGTTAACTCGTAAACTTCATCAAAATACTTATGGAGCCAAGCATGCACCCCATGATTTAGACAACATCTCAACAAATAATAATAGAAGAGTTTCCTCATCCAGACATTTTTTCTTGAAGCAAGATTGAATAGGCATCAACACTCATGGTTTCCCAGTCTGACACGAGAACTAACGCAGAACCTAGCATACAAAAAATTTAACACTTAATACTTCTTGCTCTCCCTCTTTCAAACATGGGAAGCATCTAATATAGATTTGTTCATGGTTTCCCACAATCTGACATGAAAACTTATGTATAACCTCACATAACAAAATTTGACACTTAATACTTCTTTCCTCCCATTCTTTCAAACATGGAAAACATCCAATAAGGATTTGCACATGAAATGCACGCCAATAACAATATTATCAGTGTTTAACCAATAAGCACTACCGCAGGGAACTGAAGGCATTCTATTGAAAAGGGAAACGAATCACCAATGTCAGGTTGACTTCTCCAATTGATTGCAGTTATACACATTTTATACAGAAACTTAAATTCTCTAGTCAGCCACTGAGACTATAAAGAGAAAAGCAAAGTCATACATACCTCCCACAGAATGCCAAAGACAGCATCCTTGAACTTAACCATCCATGTCCAAAGCTCTTCAAGCCACCTCTCAACTATACCATGCTGGTGAAACTATAATTTTTCAAGATACAGTAACAGTTTTGGATGAAGTCAGAAAAATTAGAAGCCAATAAATGGCAAAAATTCAGAATTAAAAGGAAGCTACACTAACAAATAACAAAATCAGGATTCAGCCTACAGCTTGTTAGAATTTTGAAAGACCAAAAACAAGGAGTCTCATACGCACATTCTACAAAAAAAAAGTTTATCATTCTTTCAATGGTCAATAAAATAACCAGCAGAGAGATATACAGAATCAGATACTCCATGATATCCTGCTAAAATTTGATTCAGAGCTACGTCAATGAAGGGAAACAAACTGAAAAAGATTTTGCTGCTGTTCAGTTCTGCTGGCATGGCTACACAGTAACAAAAACATTTTTCTTTATGAAAGGTAGAACAGCATATGGCCATTGACATCAAATTTATTACCATTCTGGTTCTTTGCCTTTCTCTTTTCCTTGAGTCCCCTGTTGTGCCCATTGTCATCAAACTTAGTTTATGACCCATGACCAGTGAACAGTTGATGAACCTGGTTCTAGCAGGGAGCTTTTTTATTCACTCATGACATGTACTTGATAATGTAAGGTAGAATGTAACCATAAGCTGAAAGCAGCAATTGAAGCAAATAACAGGATAAGAATGGATGGAATGTCTTCTAGAAGAAGTAAGTACAAGGGAGCTAAAAAATCTGGTCTGCACCATCAATTATGATAGTAGACATAAAGAGGCCAGACTTGAGGCAAGTGGAGGAGAGGTGTAGTGGGAAGTAAAGGAGAGGTGTGGTGGGAAATAGAGGAAGGGTGTGATAAAGCTGCCCAGGAATATTAGATTGAATAGGTAGTATATATTTGTCATTTTTATGGTCTCCTTGGGAATTTGAGCTGATGTAGAGGTTTTTCCCATTTGTTTTCTTTTACAATTGGGTGGTGCCCCCTTGGCACCTTCTTGAATCTAAATTCAGTTACTTATCAAATAAAAAAAATAAAAAAAAAGGGTAGTGTCCTAATCCTAATACCATGATCTCAAAAACAAACCAAAATGTAAATACATGTATTCAAAATAACATGAAAGCCGACGTTGAGAGAGAGAGTGTGAAAACCAATTTGAGAGAGAGAGAGAGAGAGAGAGAGAGACCTGCAATGACAACTCCTCCAAAATGCAGCAAAAAATATTGGTGCCACTAACAATGGATTGTCTTACAACAATAGAATCATTATCATGTAAAGTCGCCAATAAGACTGGCATTAATATTGAAGAGTGTTTCATTGCTTTCAAACCAATCTCCTCCACCGCCCTAGCAATCAATTACAACGACATTTGGTCAAACCATCAAAGAATAATTCAAAAGCAACAAGGAGATTTAAATAGACCTCAAAGAGATATATATGAGCCAGTTAAATACGGCAGTTTTAAAAACTCGTTGACACATGTTCCTTAGTAAGATTAAGCAATAAAATGATCATTTTCTGGAGAGAAAATAGGAGAAAAAAAGCGGCTAAGTACTGAATTAATGATGTTAGCACCATGCAAAGAAAAATGTAAGTACTGATACATTGTGCCGCAAAATATGACCTAGTAAGAACTCCCACAAAAACTACTAAATGGTACAAAAAAGTAGTAGTTTCTTCTCACCTCTATCTAATAATTCCTTTATGCTTGACTGAGACAATATGGGCTGTACTAATTGTCCACTGATATAATTTCAATATCTATAGTGTGAATAAAGTGACCATCACTTTCCAGTATGCTTACAATAACTTTCAGGTATGCTTACAATAACTTTCAAGTATGCTTAAAATAATAGGTACATTGTGTTTTAAGAATGTCAATAAAACTAAGGCACCGTATATGAAACACAATGCAGCATAGTTGGGCTCCCGACATGCACATAAAGCATGTATGTATTCCAAATACTTAAACCAAAAGTAGGGTTTACTAGTAGGCATTATAGACAATTCATTTGTATTGAGCTGGAATATAGTATGTGAAAATAAAGAACAAAGAAATAATCCTCCGGTTAATTTCTGGGGGGATAAAAACTGAAGAAAACAACATGACAGAAAATATTCTTATGAACACGTATATAGTTCCTACTGACACAAAGAACTCAACTCATCTCAGCCAAAGAGTAGTACAAGAAATGTCTGGTTGTATTTTAAATTTTTGTTCTTTCTCCTGTGGAACAAGGTTCCAATGTGGGCTAATTTCTATGCTACACGGACTCTTCAAAATAAACCAAATATCCATGTCGGACGCCCGACACTTGAGCAAGTGTATAGGATATGTGTTAGCTACATTTCAACGAACACTGCTTATATTATAATTGTATATAACACTATTATTATGTGTACACATTGTTGTATAATTGCTATAAATATCTTTTTGACACACTGTAAGTTACATATACCATCATTTTATCTCACTATTAAAATGATATTTTTTTGCCGAGTCCATGTACCCTTAAATTTATGGGTTGATGAATCCGACCTCTAGATACGACCCATACCCAAGTCGCTAATTTTGCTGCAAATCATATGCAGCTACATGAAACAGGATCCAACTTCTCCAGGAATTACACCAACCCATACCTGCTTCACTCAATTTTAAGCATGCAATGATAAGGTAGTAGAAATTTGGCAATTGCAGTGTAGAAATTCAAACATCAAGAAATAGGCATATAGACACAAACATTCAACATTAACCCTACAATACATTCAATAATAATAACAGCGTGAAAGCATCAAATTCACAAACAAGAAGAGAAACAAGAAAAAGTTAAAGAAAAGGAAAAAGAAAAATTGGGGGAATAGAACTCACTCGATGAGGGATTTACGAACGAGAAATTCGGGAGAATATTGAAGTTCGACCAAATAGGGGAAGAGTTCGGAAGCAAGAGAAGGGTCGGAGGAAGAAGCCAAGATATCTTTAGCCTGTTTCAAAGAAGAGAGCTTTACAGCCAAATCGCCGTGGTTGTTGGCCTGTGCAAGGAGAGAGAGCGCTTGCTCTCGCGAAGGTCCAGACATGGCGACAATTCCTCAGAGATTGCGTACGTATATGTGCAACTGTGTATCAGGGGATCTGAAGGTCTGGTTCGTTTTCTAGGGTTTTGAAGGAGAAGGAGGAGGAGGAGGAGGAGAGTGATGAAGAGAGAGAGGGGTTGGGTTTTATTGGCGAGTCCGTAATCCGATTTGAATACACAGCGACAAAAACATAACACTGAACCCACCCAGGGTCTCTCCCTCTGTCCCCCTCTCTAGCTCAAGTAGAGGTGGCGATAACGAAGAATCCCAAAATCAGATTCAAGGTGGCCACGACACGAATAGGGATTGCAAACAAATTGACCCGACTCTATTTCATCTAAGAGCATCTCCAACGGTTACTCAGATTTTTCACTAAATTTGAGTAAAAAATGACTCATTTTACCAATTTGATACCACTCGCTCCAACGGTGCATTTCATCAAATTTGTGCCAGGGACAACTTTTTTTTTTTTTTTTACTGTTTGAACCTTTTTTTCGAACCGTTTGAACCTTTAGGCGGTCAACCGGTTGGTCAACCGGCCGGGCAACCGGCTGGTTGACCGGTTGGTCTCTCCCAACGGTTAGGAACAGTAATTTGGTAAAATGCTTCGCCTGTTTTCATTTTGGTACAAGATTTGCTGAATTGTGGATTTGATATCAATTTGGTGAAACGGTTGGAGCTCAAAAAAGTGACTTTTTCATCAAATTTTGAATTTGATATCACGTTTGCTGAAGCGTTGGAGATGGTCTAACCCGGTTTTAAAAAAAATTTAACATTTTATTTTAATTTTTTGTATTTTATTTTTTAAAAATTAAATTTTTTATTTTTTGTATTTTTTAAAAGTTTAAGTAATTTTTTTATTTTTTTAGATTCACCTTAATTTTAAAAATCAATAAATAGACAAAAATACAAAAAAATATATTGAATTCTCATATCTTTTTATATTTTTGGTATTTCGTGAATTTTCTAAAGATTTTTTTCACAAATATTATACTTTTAAGTATATTTATATTAGGTGTATCTAAAAATTAAAAAAATTGTGTAGAATATTAAAAAATCAGTAAAAACAAAAAAATATGAAAAATAAAAAAATTAAATTCTTTGAAAAGTGAATTCTTAAAATCCAAACCAAACAAGCTAAATACTTTTTTATTTAACAAAATTAATTAAGAAAATAAAATTATTAACTGCTCTTTTGTATAATAATAAAATTACTTGAATTATTATTTGAAATGAATTTTGGGAGCTTTTTTGATAAATTCTCTTTCTAAGAGTTTTACTTCATCTAATCCATATTCTTTTTAACTATTACATTAGATCCTATTTGAGATAAAAAGACCAAAACACCCTTAATTTCTCATGCTCCCTATTGATGTTGATTGTTATTATATTTTGGTAGTTCTTATACATCAAGATATTAACTGTCATTATATTCATATTAATTTGAAATTAATTTTTGTCACTGTGTTGTCAATTATATGATGTAAATATTCACATCATGTAATGGAAATGAATATTCACATCATTATATTCACATTAAGTTGAAATGAAATTTTCTAATTGTGTTGTCAATTACATAATATGAATATTTATACTAAAACATACGAATGTGAACGTTCACATCACTACATGTTGTGAATAAGAATGTGTTGTCAATTAAAAATATAACATGTTGTGAACATTTACATCATTACATTAGATGACAGAGAATTTTTCGGAAAGGTATTGTAAATGTTCACATTAGATAAGAGAGAATGTTCACATTATTTTTAATGTGTTGTCAATTAAAAATAAGAAAGTTCACTTGTTGTGAACGTTCACATCACTACATGTTCACAACATTAGATGAGAGAGAATTTTTAGGAAAGGTGTTGTGAATGTTCACATCAGTTGAGAGAGAATGTTCACATTATTTTTAAGGGGTATTTTTTTCAGGTCCCTGGTATTATGATTTTATAGCATAAAGGACACCAAATATTTTCATAATGTCTAAGGTCCATCAACAATATTTTCATAATGTCTAAGGTCCCTCAACCTTGATCCAGAGAAATTTCAGTCCAGAAAAAATTGGTCCAGAGAAATTCTGGTCCAGAGAAATTTGGTCCAGAGAAATTTCAGTCCAGAGAAAATTTGTTAGAGAAATTCTGGCCCAAAGAAATTTCTCTGGATGAATTTCTCTACTTTTCTTCTCATTTCCCCGATACTGTAGTGATGATCAAAGGTAGGCCAAGCAAGCATACAATAATAATTTAATGATAGTAAAACTAATAACATCTTAATAACAAAACTCAGAAGCACATTTAATCAAAACTAACTAGGAAAGTTTGGATAACTTCAGTTGCAAGTGAATGGATTCATGCTTGTGTTTTACAAGATGACGACGGGCACTAGAGAATTTCTCTGGATTTAAAATCAGAGAAATTTTTTGCATCACCAAACAAAAAAAAAAAAACAACAACAATAACCCAGAGAAATTGTTGCATCTTCAGGCATACTTTGGCAGCAGAGTGACTGTATCACCGTATTTCAACTCAGCCATGACTTGGCGAAAGTGGCTCAGGTGTGAATACGGGTCCGTCTTCCCTTCATATGTATTGAATTTCGGCTGAAGGAAGCCTGATGGTAGGGGCGCGTTTTCGATTGCTGGAACGAACGGCGAAGTCTGTAGTCTTGCCAATGCTTTGTCCGTTGGTTCGTAGGCAAAAAGGAGAATCTCTAAAAATGTTTGTCTGAGAATTTCTTTGGGTTTGGGGAGTCCAGAGAAATTTCGACAGTGGTCGGAGATCATCACCTCGAAGCCGTGAGAGAAACCACTCTCAAAAGCAATCAATTCCCAAGGTAAAGGCAGACAACCAGTGACATTCTTGGTTCGAACTAACCATACCAGAGAAAAACCAAACCCACCATCATATATATATATTGATTTGATTTGATTTGATTTGTAAGAAGTATTATCTGAGACCGAACTATCCACCAAAAAAAAAAAGAGACCGAACTGCAGAGCAAAAACACAGAAAGTTAGATTCATCAAATTAGAAGTAGAAGTAAGGCAAACGATCAATATCAATATTCAATATATAGGTTAATATAATGCACTTACCTCAAAAAAAAGTATGAAGTGCTGTTTGTATATAGATGTATAAATGTCTATATGTATGTATGTATAGATTGAAGGAAACACTTGGGTCTTCTTTCCTGGAAACAATAATAGTCTCCTCCAAAGAAAACAAGAGTAGATTGAGAGAGAGTAAAGATAGAGTGGTGATTTCGAGGCAGTGTGATTTTCTTGGACCCCAAACAGACAGAGAAAAAAGAACAATGCTATCAAGAGAAATTTACTCCCTGGCCTTTCATACAAACTCCCACCTCTTCACAACAACCTACACAACGTACCCCAAACCAGCGGCACGCGCAAGAATAGGACCCCCGGAAAAATGCCATTAGCGCCGCATTTTGAGAAGCGACGCCATAGCCAAGCTTCCATGCACCACCGAAGCACTAAGCATTGCCTAATACCTTCACAGGTAGTGCACTACCAACACACCACCAGTGAAATAGCTCCATCAACCGAAATACATCATCGGCTGGACCAATAATCGCTGACAAAAAGATCGCTCTGATTTTTGAAACAGATAATTCAAAAATAAAAAGAAGAAATAATAATATAGAATAGAGCAGACTAAAACAGACCCGATTCAACAAACACAGGACCAGGCGAGACCTCCGATGGTGGGTTTGGTGATCAGAAGATGAGATGAGAGGGAGAGAGAGAGAGAGAGAAATCATGAACAGTGAAGAGAGAGAAAGAAAGAGAAAGAGACTCTCATATATGTTAAGGGACCTTAGACATCAAAAAATAATTTTGTGGATGTCTTCCATTACGAAAAGTGGGAGAGGGACCCTAGATCGATTTTTCCTATTTTAAAACATATGGTATGAGAATCAATTATGTGTAATGCAACATTCACTACTTTGTTTGATATATTTGATTTCTGATTCCATATGTAGTTCTTTTTACTTACCCATCAATTCAAAAGTTATAATTAAGAAGGTTTGAAAGTATAGTTGTCATCATCAAGTAATTTCTTAAATTAATTTCTCAAAATACAAAATTTATTTCACTTGAGTGGTTGCATCTCCCTATAAACTCAAAGGTTCAATTCCTTTCACAAAAGGGCATGTTTTTTCTCCCATTTTAGGAGTTGAATTGTGTATGACATACACAATAAATATAATAAGAAAACAAATTTTATGCTAGGGTAAGAACCAAACAAAACACATTTCTTTTTATAAAATTTAAAAATGGAAATTACTTTCAATAAAAAAATTTAGAAATGCTTTTCAAGCTGGGCTATCAAGTACTTTAATTTGGCATGCTAGGGAAGACATCATTGAACATTATAATTTTACCAACATTACATTGAAAATGAAATACAACATATCATTATTACCAAAATAAAAAATAAAAAATTAATTAAAGGAGAGAAATTCTTAATAAATACAAGAGGAATAAAACTCATTACAATGTACATGTGTTGAGACTACTGATCCAATGACCGAACAAAGTTTAGCTGCAATCATAGCTTCAACTTCAACTCAAACCACACTTTAGCCACAGTTGCAGAAGCAAGCCACACCTTGAGCCACAGTTGCAGAAGCAGTTATGGATTCCACGTGTGCTGAAATGCAGAAGCAAGCCACACCTTGAGCCACAGTTGCAGAAGCAGTTATGGATTCCACGTGTGCTGAAAGATATGAGACTAGTTCATCTCTCAATTATAACTAACTTGAGATATGCAAATCTATTAGAGATTCTAGAAGAATGTATTAAGCTTCTATATATAGATACTATCCTGAGAGAGTTGAAAAGTGTGAGAGAGAGCTATCAATGAAAATATCTAAATCTTAAATCTCTGTGTTGAATTCTAACTTTTCATATGGTATCAGAGCTTCAATCTCTTGTGAGTTGATCCTCATCTGTGTTTGAATCCAATTCATCTTCTTATTCGATGTCTTCGATTCCTTCTAATCTTTCTTTTTAATTTCCAATCTATCTTCGTTTATCACTGTCAAACTTGATGCTTCAAATTTTTTGATTTGGAAAAATCAAACTCAGAATATTTTGAAAGCTACTGATTTACTTGGAATTGTTGATCACCTTGTCCATCCATCACAATCAAAGATGCTTCTGGATCAGATGTTGATAATCCTGCCTATTTCCAATGGAGACTCGTAGATGCACATCAATATATTCCACAGTTCTTTAGGACCATGGTCTTGGCCATGAATCT